AAAAAATTAAAAAATTTTTTATCCATCCAAACACACACACAAACACAAAAAAACGAAAGTTTTTCGTTTTTACAACGAAGCAAAACTATCACATGTTCAATGAAAGATAAGCAGATAAATTTGTCATTTCGGTTGCTGAAGGATTTTCTATCATTCATTTATTTCATTTCATTCACTCCACTTCATTCATTCATTTCATTCATTCATTCATTCATTCATTCATTCATTCATTCATTCATTCATTCATTTTTTTTCATTCATTCATTCATTCATTTCATTCATTCATTCATTCATTTCATTCATTCATTCATTCATTCATTCATTCATTCATTCATTCATTCATTCATTCATTCATTTCATTCATTCATTCATTCATTCATTTCATTCATTCATTCATTCATTCATTCATTCATTCATTCATTCATTCATTCATTCATTCATTCATTCATTCATTCATTCATTCATTCATTCATTCATTTCATTCATTCATTCATTCATTATTCATTCATTCATTCATTCATTCATTCATTCATTCATTCATTCATTCATTCATTCATTTTCATTCATTCATTCATTCATTCATTCATTTCATTCATTCATTCATTCATTCATTATTCATTCATTCATTCATTCATTCATTCATTCATTCATTCATTCATTCATTCATTCATTATTCATTCATTCATTCATTCATTCATTCATTCATTCATTCATTCATTCATTTCATTCATTCATTCATTCATTCATTCATTCATTCATTCATTCATTCATTCATTCATTCATTCATTCATCATTCATTCATTCATTCATTCATTCATTCATTCATTCATTCATTCATTCATTCATTCATTCATTCATTCATTCATTCATTCATTCATTCATTCATTCATTCATTCGCCCATTCATTCATTCGCCATTCATTCATTCATTCATTCATTCATTCATTCATTCATTCATTCATTCATTCATTCATTCATTCATTCATTCATTCATTCATTCATTCATTCATTTTCATTCATTCATTCATTCATTCATTCATTCATTCATTCATTCATTCATTCATTCATTCATTTCATTCATTCATTCATTCATTCATTCATTCATTCATTCATTCATTCATTCATTCATTCATTCATTCATTCATTTCATTCATTCATTCATTCATTCATTCATTCATTCATTCATTCATTCTTCATTCATTCATTCATTCATTCATTCATTCATTCATTCATTCATTCATTCATTCATTCATTCATTCATTCATTCATTCATTCATTTTCTTTCATTCATTCATTCATTCATTCATTCATTCATTCATTCATTCATTTCAATCATTCATTCATTTTCATTCATTCATTCATTCATTCATTCATTCATTCATTCATTCATTCATTCATTCATTCATTCATTCATTCATTCATTCATTCATTCATTCATTCATTCATCATTCATTCATTCATTCATTCATTCATTCATTTTCATTCATTCATTCATTCATTCATTCATTCATTCATTCATTCATTCATTCATTCATTCATTCATTCATTTCATTCATTCATTCATTCATTCATTCATTCATTCATTTCATTTCATTCATTCATTCATTCATTCATTCATTCATTCATTCATTCATTCATTCATTCATTCATTCATTCATTCATTCATTCATTCATTCATTCATTCATTCAATTTCATGACAAGATAAAAGATGCATGTTTCTTTAAAATTCAGCAATTTCTTTAAAATTTATCTATTTTAAAGTAAAAAAAAAGTGAGTTATTCTAATTTAATTTTGATTAACTAACTATTTACTAATTAAAGTTTCATATTTTAATTTTTTTCACAGTTTTCCTTTCTTGCATTTCTTTTTCAGTATTTCCTTTCACGGATAAAATTTTTAAAATAAAATTCGAAAAACCAAAAACGAAAAAAAAATAGCAAATCAGGTTTTTCTCTAAATTTCATCATTTCCTAGAAAAATAGACAATAAATTAAATTTTAGGAGAATTGATAGAAAAAAAAAGCAAAAAATAAAGAAAAGAAGAAGAAGAAACAATTATTTAGTTGTATAATTTTTTGGATGTATGTAATACAAAGAAATTTAAAATTTAAAAAGAAAAAGAAAAAAAAAAAGCTGAATTTTTTGTTTGAAAATTAGCGCTTCATTGTTCTTTCAACTAAATTATTGACTGACATATATGTCACTGTCCACAGTTAAATAGTAATGCAAATTCGGGCTAATATTTCATAATTACTTTATTTTTTGCTTTATTTTAAACTATGATATTAACATAAAAAGTATTTAGCTAATTTCCACTCATTGCTTTTTATTTTTAGACATAAATTTCTTATATTTTCCGATGGTTAAACAAGCAAAAATGTTTGTGTCAATTTGAATGGGCAATTTCACTTTAGACAATTTTTATTTCAAAATTCTGAAAGTGAAAAGAGTGATGGAAAAAAGGGAAATACAAAAATTTTTACCTTTTGAGTTTAGATATGCTATGAAATGGAAAATTTTATTGCGCATTTTCATGGCTAATTTAATGGGTAGTTGTTTAATCGTTTAGAATGTTAATTAATTTATAAATATATATGTAAATCAACTGTTGTTTCCACTTTTTTTAACTACTAAAATGAAAGGTAAAAATATTTCTTAGTTGGAATTTTGAATTAATCTTTAAACTATTACCTTAGTATTTTCTGATTAGAATATTAAGCAATACCAGGTATAGCTTAGGTATAATAAATACAGAATGGTAATGATAATTTGTATCTTTAATGTCCGACATCACTAATAACAATATAAAAAACTGGTAAGAGATTTTTGCTATTAATCATACAAACGAAATTAAATTGTATGAGCGAAATATTTACCCATCATTAAGGGCAAAAAATTAAGAAATAAAGAAAGGATTTATTATCATAGTACATATATACAGATTTCAATTTTTTAAGCGATATCAATTCGCAATCAAATAGTGTACTTGAAAATCTTGCTAATCATATAATTTATTAGCTTGTAGTACTTAAAAATAAAAATGAGCAAAGACGATTAAAAATTTTTGAAACGAATTAATGATTTGAAATTATTTTATTTACAAACAAAAAAAAAAAAAAATTGGGAGAGAATTCAAAAAAAAAACTTGAAAAATTAACCGCAGTGAATCGTTTAGATCATTTTCTTTTTCTTTTTTTTTTTCTTGAACCGTACGGAAAAGACAAAATATGGCGCCGGAAAGAAATGTAATGTTGATGTTTAAAAATATTTGAAATTGGAGCTGATATAAGATAATTTGTGTTCTTCATGGATGTCTACATACAATCTGTACGTGTATGTATGCATGTGTTTGTATGTGTGTGTATGTGTGTGTGTGTATGTGTGTGTGTGTGTGACGAAAAAGAAAGATTAATGAGACTGAGCTTAAATGAAGCGCAATATGTAACAGTTTAAATTACAATAACCGCCACTTTAAAAAAAAAAAATATTTCAATTTTAATCTGATAATATCTAATAATAATATTCATTTATTTCAACATTATTTTTTTTTTCATAAATTTTATTATTCTTTTATAAAATTTCACTGTTTTTTTTATTCACTTTTTTTTTTGAATGATAAATTTATAACGTAACGGACACGTACGTATTCTTTTCTTAACACGTAACGTACCATTTCATAACAATTATAATTCACGTATTATACTTTTAATAATATACGTTTTTGTAGCAATCAGAAATATTTTATTATTCAGGAATAAATTTATTAAAAATGTTTGAATGAAAGATATGAAAGAAATCACCGTAGTGTGACAGTTATGTGATTGGTTATCTCAACCACCAGAATTACACGCCCACTAACATACGCATGCACGCATCAATCTTATCCTGTCTTTTACTCCTACTTTCTCTCTCTATATATGCATGTATGTACGTACGTGTATGTGTGTACGTATGTGTTTGTATATATATATGTGTGTATGTGTGTGTGTGTGTGTGTGTGTGTGTGTGTGTGTGTGTGTGGTGTAGTTAAATGACAGACTGCCTAAGTGATATGTTGTACGACGGTGTGATTTATTGCTCGAACAGCAGCAGTAGCAGTAGCAGTATCGCATCGCATCGCATCGTAGCGTTTGTTTAGTTCGATAGGGCTGAATCTTTTCAATTTAAAAATTGCGTTTTAATTTTAATCCTTTCTATGAATAAGGAAGTAATGAAGAATCAATTCATATAGTTATTTAATTATTTAAATTACAATTGCAATAAATAGTCATTTAAATTACACTGATAATAACAGATTTTATCAGTGATAATAATTAATGACTTTCATACTGATATAAACACATATATAAATGTACGTATATATATATTTTTTCCTTTTGTTGAATAATTCTTTAATGATATATTCATATTTATACTTATTATACTTCATTTTATAAAAATACTTATTGTGTATACTTTACCTATACCAGCAATTTTAAGTGATAACAAAAACTTATAGCATACTTATTATTTTAACTTTATTTATAGTAATAATTATAGCATTATATGAAGTGTTACATTCATACATCTGTACTTATAATAATACTAATCAAATATTTATAATCTTAATCGTATTTATAATTATAAACAAAAATGTATGAATACATATTTAGCATACTTACTTGTACTCATAATTTTAACTGTATTTGTAAAAAACACTTATAGCATACTCACTTATATGTATAATTTTAACTCATTAATAAATGATACTCTTAAATAATCATCAATGATTATACTTGTTGCAAAAAATAGTACATCACAAAGTACATTCTAATTATTTAAACGATCAATGATTCATTCTTTTCAACTATAATTCTACTTTTTACATTTTTTTTTAAAAAAACTTTTTTTCTTTGTTATTATAAATGCAGTGAACTTATACCATTTTAAAACATAACTTTTGCTAAAGTATATTTATTAAAAAATATTCCTTCTTCTAGGCTAGTGAATTCATTTCTCGATGAGTTGTACCGAATCTTACATTGGTTCTTCTAGTCCACCCACCACTTATCCACATTATGCTGACTGGTCATCGTCCGGTGGTTACATTTCCACCTCGGTAACACCTTATCCACCAACCTCATCATATGGTCATCAATTACCTCCACCAAGCACTTCACATTGGATTACAAATGCTACAGCTAATTATGGTCAAAATCAATCGACAACTAATGCTAATCCTATCCAACAATCTCATTCAACTACTTCTACCACTGCTACTACTGCTGCTACGGTTGCAGCTGCAGCTGCAGCTGCTACAATTGCTGCAAGCACCGCAAATACATATAAATGGATGCATATTAAACGTACCGTCACTAAATCATCAGGTTTACATTTTATCATACTTTTTAGTAAGTAATTTTTCATGTAATATGATCAGTGATCAAAATAATACGATCATTTCGGATATTTCACGTATGCTACGTGATCAAATTTTAGCGTCAATACGTGTAATCGTTATAAAAATAGCACTATTATACAACAAATTAACACTTTAAGCATTAATTCTAAAAAGAAAAGAAAAAGCTTTAAATGAATACCTAATTAATCAAAATTTCGAATTTATTTCATTAACACATTGAAAAGAGAAGAAAAGAAAAAGAGCAAAGAAAAAAATAAATATTTATAAAGTACTGTCTAAATTTTTTACAAAAAAAAAAATTTTTTTTTCAATTGATATTTAAAAAAAAAAAAAAAAAAAAAATTAAAATACAAATAAAGAAAAAAAATAGACTATTAGAAGCAATATCATATAATCAAATAAATAATTTTTATAGTACCAAAACGACGTGTAGTAGAGGATACGAATGCGATACGTACAAATTTTACCACTCATCAATTAACAGAACTTGAAAAAGAATATTACACATCGAAATATTTAAATCGAACAAGGCGAGCCGAAATCGCATCAATCCTACAACTAAATGAAACTCAAGTAAATATCATGCTGTTACCGTATCTGATTTATTCTATCTCTTCTATAAAATTATTGACAGAAAAATTTTCAGATAATAGAAGTAAAAGTATTAGTGGTTAAAGAATAATAGATAAGAAGTAAACATGAGAGTAGTAAAAATAACTAAATCTTATCATCTTATCGCTATCTATTTACTGTAAAAATATTTGCATATAAATTGCAATTAAAAAATACAAAATAAATTAAATTTAATTAGTTTTTGATATAAATTATTTTTTTTTTTTTATCACATCTTAATGTTTTTCTCTTTGATATTCTTAATGTAATAATAACATTTTCTATTTTAGATATGCAAAATTTGTATAACATATTGTTTAAACTATTTAATGAAAAAAAATGAAATTCAAAAATTAAATTCTACTTTTTCTGATATTTTTGTTTTTCTTTTTTTTTTTTTTTATATATAATTATCAGGGAAAAATGACAAAATTATTTATTAATTTGTCTTTTAAATTAACATTCAGGAAAAAACTAATATCATACGTTAATCAGAAAGAAATCAATATTTGTACATTTCAAAGATTATTTTTTCCATCAAAAGCAGAAAAATTATCTTTACGTATTGTACGCATGTCAAAATGTCTAATAACCTTGATTTAACTGAAAAAAAAAAAAAAAGAAGAAAAAGAGAGTAAATTTATTGAAAAAAGTTCATAAAAAGTGTTGTCAAATCAAAATAAATTAGTGCGAATTAAAATAAAGTACTTTAGGTCATTTTCATCGTCAATGAATTATCTTTTATGTTTAAATATAGCAATTTTTAAAATTAACGACGATAATTCATTGAAATAATTTTGAAGCGTTTTTTTTTTTTCTTTTTTTTTCTCGAGGCATTAGTCATTGAATTAAGCTATGGTCTACAAATCTAATATTACACTTACTGTTAACACTTATTATTTACTTTCATCTTTTTCTTTTTTTTTTTTTCTAGCAAAACTAAAAATACTACGAAATTCTAATCGATTATAATCCCTAAATACTAACTCTACTAATCTACTTACGATTGAATTCAATATTAGTAAGTGTAATTGATACTAATGAAAATGTAAAAATGTTTATTTTATTTTTTTGTTCTAATTATATCTTTCATTTTCATATGATTTGTTTTTTCCAAATTTTAAAATTTGCTAAATTATTTATAAAATTTTTCAACATAAAGCTAAAAAAAAAAAAATCCAATATTGTTAGCTATCTTCTCCACTTCACTCATACTAGATCAATTTTCAATTTGTTTGACATACGATGAATCTATGCTCTCATTGGTTGTCAGATTGAAACCAAATTTCCAATTTGTTCTAGAAAAAGACTAATCTCATTGTAGCTATTGTTAGCTTTAGCTTTAGCTAATACTATACTATCTTTCATTTCTAAATGCATGAAACATTTCAAAATGAAACGAAGAAAAAAAGAGAGAGAGAGAGAAAAAAAAAACAAAGAAAGAAAGAAAGAAATTAGCCTATGGATGATTGAACATACAGTATGATAAGATGAAAATTTTATTAATGTAATTAAGAAATTAACTTTAAAAGTTAGATTAAAATTAATGATACGGTAATAAGCTAATAATTATTGGTACGTTAATGATTACATCTGGTATAATTTCATTTTTTTGTTATTAGGAAATAATATTAGTATCATTCATGAATGAACTTATAATAAAGCTTTGGAGAAAGAGAAGGGAAAAGAGAGAGAGAGAAAAAAAAAAAAAACTAAAAAATTGTGTCTTTAAATTATTAATAAAAGTTAAGAAGATTTCATAGCTTTAGTAATTATTTAGAATTTATACGATGATACTTTATGATCATTATTATCATATCATGAGATATCATGAAATTAATAGCAGTTTTTTTTTTTTTTTTTTTCATTATACGAAAATTATATACCAGATAGATCAATACAAATTATTTGAACTTAAAATATGAATTATTTTCATTTAGTATTATTCATTAATTTAATACTCATCAATATTTGTTCATTAATTTTTGCAATTAAAATTATTCATTGAATTTATAACTCATTATAAGAATTTATGATGCTAGAGATGAAATAAAAAAATTATTCATAAATTTAAACCATTTCATGAATTTTATTTTTTCCAAAAAAAAGAAAAAAAAGACAATGGGAAAGAAAGAAATTTCTAAAATTACAAATCATCGCTTGGGAATGTTATCATAATGAAGGAACCAAAAACAGATTTTAAACAAAGTTGCTTTGTCTCATGGGAGATCAAAAGAGTTAGCATAAATAAAAAGATAAGAACAATAAAGTAAGTGAGAACAAGTAAATATATAAACAAATGTTTTTATATATATAGTTAAAAGATTAGAAATAAATTTCAGGTAAAAATATGGTTTCAAAATCGTCGAATGAAAGAGAAAAAACGACAAAAAGAGCAAGCTTTCCTGGCACGTGGTGGTATACCGTTGACACCATGCAAAGCACCTCCACAACAGAGAACAATTAATAGGGATGGTACCACCTGGTCCTCCGAATCGTCTTCTGGTACTCCCAACGATTCACCAAAACTAATACCACCATCTCTATGAGCTAGCTATAAATATTGGGCTGGATGACATATTGGCTAATTAATTGCTTCTTTCAGCCGCCAACTATTCGATGTAATGTAGTGTGTAGTCATTTTCAACATTAATCCATTTCATCGGATATATATTTTTCTTTTTCTTTTTTTTTTTTTTTTTTTTTTTTTTGCACCTCAAATTTTCGAGGGTTGGTCTCAATTATTAGTTTAGGTGTTTTATTAAATTCGAAAATATTTACTATCAGATTTGAGTAAATTATCTGGGATTTTTGCATTTGTTAATTCAGTCTAATAATTGATAAAATTAAAAAGTGATTGTGTATTTTTTATTTTTTTTTTTAATTGATAAATTTGTCAAATTAATATAAAATTTGGTAATGTTAAATAATTATGATAAGAACTCATTCTTGTATTTGTTCAAATAATCTTTAATATTATCTTTTGTTCCTTTCAAAATCATTGCTAAGCAAATTTTCCCTTCGGATTTCTTCATTTGTTTTAAAATTTCAAACTCAAAATCATTTCTCACTTGTTTACATTTTAAGACTATTAAAATTATTTATTAAATTTGACTCGATGATTTTGTAAAACATATTGAAGGCTTTTGCTACTCTTAATTATCATATTTTATTATTTGATTTCAAAAAAAAAAAAAAATCAGCAACAGAAATCACAAAAGTTATTTGATAAAAATTTTTTCGATTAAAAAATTATGTGTATTATTCAAATCTCAAATGAAATTAACTTTGACTTTGACATGATACTTTGAAATTTTAAAAAGTTAAAATTTTTTGATATTTGCTTCGTAAATTGATAAATCAACAAAAAGATATGGAATTTTGGTTGCCAAAAGAAAAGAAGAGCATTCGAATATTGTTATGATTTAAATTAATTTATGTACAAAAAAAAAAAAAAAAAAATAGAAAAAATTATTTTTTTGCAAAGTATTCTTTCATTTTCTATTCAGGTTATCATTTTTATCTTTACCTGCTAAATTTGTAAAATTTTTCATTTTCGTTTTATTGTCTTAATATTGCAAACGATATGATTGCCATTTGCTTTGAAATTTGAAATCTTATTCATGTTTGTTTTCTTTTTTTTCTTTTGTTCACTTTTACGGAATAATATTATTTAGGGTAGGTAAAAAGTATTGTTCAGATTGACAGTTTAAAAAAAAAAAAAAAAAATGAAAAAGGGCGCATTATTTCTTTCATTTCTTATCCTTTTTAAAATTGAACAAAAATATTTCATACCTTTTTTTTATTTTTTCTTTTTTTTTTTTTTGTAGGATGTTAATTGAAGAAATGAACTGCTCTGAACATTTGATAGGAATGATAGTGGGCGATAGGTTACATAAAAAAAAAAAAAGAAAGAAAAAAGTAGAAAACAAGTTTTTACGTATCAACGAACCGATTAAATTGTTTTAACTTCCATTTATAACAATGAATTTAAATTTGAAATTTGAAATGCACTAGTCTGCTGTCTTATATGATTTGTGATAATTTTTATTTTTTGATATTTTTAACAAAGTGTCTTAAAGTTTCAAGTTTGCATGATTCATTTATCAACACTCAGGTGTGAATTAGTTATAAGTTAAATTTTTTTTTTAAAAAAAGATTATCAAAAATATTGGAATTCTTAAAAGGATAAAATGTAAAAATTTGGCTAAAATATCTGAAATAAATTTCAGTATTCTGATTAAGCAATTAATATAATTATGCAGCATGCAATTATATCAAATTCAAATTTGATATAATTGCAGATGTTTATTGCCTTATCAAAATTCATTTTTTTTTTTTTTTTTGCATTTAAATGAGAAAGATCATCATTCAAATATGAATAAAATATAATAATTAATTACTTCAACAAAAAGTAATTTTGTTGCAGAATTTATTTCAGAATAAATTAATCATAAAAATAAAAACAAAAACAAAAAGGAAAACAAATATGATCAAATGAAGCTATTTTTTTAACTTTATTATCATGCTTAATGTCAATTTATACCGTATAAAATCATTTTTACATCATATCATCAAATATTTTTCAGTTTGAAAAAGATTATACCTTCTTCTGAAAAAAAAAAAAAATTTGTGTAAAAATCAAAGGAAGAGAGAGAGAGAGAGAGGAAGGGAGAGAAAGACAAGAAGGGAAAATAGAGAATACGAGAAAAAAAATAGGAATATTTTGTTTGGAATGATTGAAAAGTACCTACTTTTAAATTCTGGCAGCAGATCATAGCAAAATAAATAGGAATGAAAAAATAAAGAGGAAGAGATAGTGGAAGGGAGAGAGAGAGAGAAAAAAAAAAGGAGAGGTTGAAGAAATTTAAAAGAAAAAAAAAAAGTGGAAAATGTTTAGAGAATGATAGTTGAAGAAAAGAATGAAAATTTCGCATGATGATGATGAGTTTAAATCAGTGATCTTGATTTGTGTATTATAAATGTGAGTAATAGAACGGTAACATCAAAGGATTTCTTTTTTTTTTAAAAAAGAATGCACTAGATGACAGTTCCGCTTTTCAAGATTCGGCAAGTTCCTTCGGGTTTTTCTCTCTCTCTCTCTCTCTCTTTCTGTCTCTCTCTTTGTTTCTCTTTTCATTTTTATCCCTGCTAACACTTTTATTTCTACCACCCAAAATGAAAGAAATGAATTGATTGATGTGTTAAAGTTAAAAAAAAAAGAAAAAAGAAGAAAAAGATGAAAAAACAAGGGCAAAGTCAATTAGTTCCAGTTTGACAAACAAACAACCTGAAATTTCCCTCCTTTCTTTCAAAAAACAAAAATAAATGTTTGAAAAGTAAGGGGGTAAAATAATAAAAAGATGATTTTCTAATTAGATACTAATATCATTTTTACATATTTAACTTTACAAAAGTATGAATAAGTAAAATGCATAAAGTAAAGACTATAACAATTCGATGAAAATTATAGATAAGATGAAATTTGTCGATGTATTTCATTTTAAGAGGAAAAATTTCTAACCTTTTTTTTTCAATCATTTTTTTCCATTTCTCTTCTGTCACCCTCTCTGTCCCTCTCTGTCTGTTTATTCCTATTTCTTTCTCTTTCTTCCGTTAAATTTATTTTTCCCGAGAAAAATTTCCATATTCTATAGTTATAGTTATAATTAAGCATCGTAACTTTTTTATTTAAACGAAATGAACTAAGTTTTAGCATAAAACTTATGCTCAAATTATAGGTTAAGTATAGCTTACCTATGTTTAAAATTAACTTTAGATTATATAAGCTATACTTAGGTTGTATAAGCTTACTTATAGCTATACTTAGATTATATAAAAGAAGGTAGAAAAAAGTTTTGTGATTTTATTTATCTTTTTTTTTCAAATTTCTTTAAAATATTTAATAAAGCTGTGAATAGAATTTGCTGTTGATAAATAGCATTTGCTTCTTATTTTAAAATATTTGAAAATTTTTAGTAAAAAAAGTTTTTTTTTTTTCATTTTTATAATGGCTAATGAAAAATTTTTTAAAATTTTAGGAAGGCAAAATTAAAAAAATTTTGAGTGAAATAAATTCTAAAACAATTTAAATATTTATTGGTTTAAGGAAATAATTTGATTAAATTAATCTGAGGATTTAATTGTTCTTTAATGCAACATTCATTTTCAAATTTCATTGTTTTAATTTGAAAAAAATTTTGGACGGATCATATACAATTCGTTTTTTAAGCAGAAACTTGGATTAAAATTCATTCATTTAATTAAATGCTTATTTTTTCAACGAATTATTAAAAATTTATGGACTGAAAAGTTTTCCATTTGTTTTTGGTTTCAATATTTCCTATGTTCAGTTTTTCAATCGATGAGATAAATTTGATAAAATTTCAAATTAAAAAAAAATTTTTTTAAAGAATTTTTATTAAATATATTCTTTTTCAAGCGTTAAATTTCATTTGTTCGTTTCTTTTCTTTTTTGCTATAACACATTGAAATTTTTAATTGAATTCGAATTTGAATTGGTTTGTTTTTGGTGTGTTTTTGAATTCGAATTTTAATATAATAGTTAAAATTGAAATGTTTTTATTTGCTCGCATCAATTGTTATAATAATAATGAACTTTTTTCTTTGAATATAGATTTGTATTTAAATAAAATGCAATTGTATTATGAATGCAATGAAATGTAAAAAAAGAATAAAATTTTTTTTTTATTTTTAAAAATGAAATATTTAAAAAAAGAAAGAAAAAACACACATATAATTCACTATTCTATCTTCATTTTAATTTTTAATTTTTTGTAAAATTTTTAACCATAAGCTGTTTTTGTATAAATTCTCGACAATTTAATGACAATTTCTTGCTTAGATTATGCATATATTTTTTTTATCTAAAATGTATCTATGAATATATTCAAAAAATTTTCTGCTAAATATTCTAAAAATTATATGTTTTTTTTTTTTTAAATTATACTACCTTTTTTCTTTTCTTTTTTTTGAAACTTGACAATTATATTAACAAATCAATGATGGTCATATAAAAAAAAAAAAATGAAACTTCAATAATCCTTTTGATAGTAAATTTGATTATTTAAATAAGAATTTTATTAATATAAAAATGAAATTGATGTAATTTAAATTGAAATAAAATTGAATATAATTGAATGTAAAATGAAGTATTGTATTATTTACTAAATTATTTCAATTCTAACTTATGCTACTATTTCAAATGTAAATATAGTTTTGTTTCATTAATCTTTTTTTGTTGTTTTTCTACTCTTATAAATAAAAGGTTTTTTTCTTTTGTGATAAAGTGTCAAATTACTCTATAGAGAGAGAGAGAGAGAGAGAGAGAAAAAAAAAGGGATGGAAAGATTGGGAAGTATTTATTATATATCATTTGCATATGGTAAGCTTTGTTTGCATTTCGCTTTTTGATGACTACTAAATCCGACACAATAGTATGCGGAATTTGCATATAAGAAGTTTATCCTTTGATATGCGATGATGAATTTTTGTGATAATTAAATTGTCTAAACAGACAAGAAAACAAATAAAATAATTCAAAAGAAAAGAAAGAGAAAAGAAACGAAGTGAAAAAAAAAAAAAAAAGCCTTGAAAATGTTTAATCTTTAATACTTCATCTTTATTATAATCAAAATATCCTTTTAGAATTCCTTTTTTTTTTCCTCATTCTTTCTTTCTTATTTCTCTTTGTTTGTTTGTTTGTTTGTTTTTTTGTTCTGTTTTATTTTATTTTTTGTTCTGTTAATTATATATGCAACAAATATTTATAGAGAATGAAAAAAAAAAAGCCATTTCTCTTTTGTATTTGTTTTGTTTTGTTTGTTTGTTTTTTTTTTTTAACTTGACGATAAAGCTAGCAATAAATCTGTGAAATATATTATTAACAATATTAGCTATTAATTAAATTTTATTTTAAATACATTGATTGAAGATGAAACAATTCATGTGGAAATCGTAAATATTTAAACAAAAAAAAAATTTTTTTCTCGAAGTTAACATGCAATTAACAAATTATAAATAATAAATGTTTAATAAGAAGTAAAATCATTTATGAAAACTTGAAAACTTTTTAGTCCTTTTTTTTTTTTTTTTTTGCAGGATGTCATTCATAAATATTATCATTTGAAAAGTTTTTTTATCATTTATCTTAGCAACACTTAAATTTTTTTCTTTTTTCAAAATTTTAAAAATTAATACATAAACAAAAGATAATGATGAAGAGATGATACCGTAATATATCTAAAACTAATTGCATCATATATGAGACAAATAAACAATGCGAATAAATAGTTCATTGAGGCATGTAAATAGCATCTGTAAAATATAAATTAGACACATTTGTTGCAGAAATATAATTGAATTGAATGTAATTGAATACTTGAATTGACAAAGAAAAGATTGATTGTATTTTAGGATTAATGAAATAAAAGTAAAATGTAATGAGTAAAATGAATAAATGATTATTGATTGATTGATTGATTGATTAAAATTTGTTAAAAGTGAGATTATATCATATCATACATTCATTTATTTTCATTACTTTAATCCATATTAATATTTTTTCTTCTATTTCATTTAATATGTCAGAGGCTTCATTGATAAGAATTGATAAATTTGCTGAGCTAAGAGAAAGAGATTAAGCTAAGCTTAAAAAGATTATTATAGCTTAACTTTAGCGCATATATTCAAAACTATGTATTATCTATTTCTCGTATATTTGTATGTGTGTGTGTGTGTGTGTATGTGTGGATGTCAGATTGATGTGTAAGAAGTTTTGAGGATAAGAAAAGATAAAAGGAAAATGACCGCTTTAACTGATGATCAGTGAGGATGGGCAAGAGGGAGGGTGGGGAGATCAGCGGGTAAATGAGATCAGGGAATGGGCGCAAATGCACCAGATCTCAATCTTTGACATCAATAGCATTAGAACAGAAGCACTAGCAAAAATGCTCAATGTGATGATATTTTTGTTGTAATCCAATTTGATAAATGGGACCGATCTTTTTTCTCTTCACAATATACAATATTAAATATTACCAAATATATTTTTTTTTTGCAAAATTATTAATCAAAAAAAAAAAAAAAAAAAATCATTCAATAATTGATATATTAATATTATTTTATAATAGTTGAAATAAAAATAAATGAAAAATGGTAGCAAATTGCAAATAAATATTAATATATAATTAAAATAGAAAAAAGTTTTGAAAGAGAAGTATGAAAGGAAAAAAAAAAATTTAGTAATTTTTTAAATAACAAAAATCTTATCATTGATATTTAAAATTTTAATCAATATTTTATCAATTTTAAATTGACAAAGTATTCATACATTTTAAAAATTTGAATAAATAATAAAAATCAAATATTGATAATCGAATAGAATTATGATTGCGATACTTTAGTACTATTAATTTGTTATAACAATTCGAAATCACATCAGGTATCAAAAATAGTTACTTAAAATGAATGCTACGTCTATAATGATATTATTTTAATCAGTAAATAGTAATAATCAAATTTAATTTAACTCATCATAAATCAGAATTTTCAATATTAAAAAATTCCTTAATATTTTTTACAGTTTTTAGATATACTTTAAGAATCAAAGAATTATATGTCATAATTGCAATTATTTGATGTAATAATCCTTCTTTCCTTCCTTAATTATCTTTTATCACTTTTATCAATCTTTTACCAATAAAAGAGTTAAATCATATCCAAAAAAAAAAAGCGGAAAAAGATTACAAATAAAAAAATATGCATAAAGAGTCTAATAGCATTTCTATTGCATTTTAGTTTTCTGCTAAAATTTTCAAATTAAATTAAATTTTGCTAATTATTGTCACTATTTTCCTGCTAATCACTCGTTTATCATCATTATAGTAATGTGATAAGTTGATCTCTTCTACTGCTATAAATTATATTTAATCATTTGTTTAATAATTTTTGAGTCATATGTGTTGAATTGATTCATTTATTGGATTATATGTCCAAACATATCGACCATTAAACAATATATTAGCAATATTATCAATCTTTTTAAATTAGAAATTGATGATAATGTTTGATAATGATTGTTGTAAAGTAATTACGAATAAATGATGAAAACACAAATGTGCATAATGCATATTATCAAATTCAAATTTGTCAACAAACATTTCAGTTATTAGCAAAGCTAAAGAAACTCAAAAGTTAGCATATTTTGAATGACAATAAAAAAAGAAAGAATTTTTCTAAAAGTAATATTATCTTCATTTTTATTTTTTTATCATTTTTATTTTTCATTTTTTTATTATTTCATTTTCATTTTTAGTCCAATAATTTTCTATTCAAAAAATTAAAAATGATTCGTCTAATTTTTTTGTTTTAATAAAACAAAATAAAATTTAATAATTGGCAGATTTAATTACATAACAATTATTATAGCTAATCAAAAAATAAACAAAGTTAATATTATCTAATTAAATGATGAAAACTGCTATTATATAAATTAAATAATTATTCAGTTAATTATGAAGACCACATTATTGATTGTTGATAAAGATTAATCTGATCCAACAGATATGATAATTCTTGATAATTCGGTTGAATTTAACATAATTGTTATTTTTATTTTGAAGTGTTCATATCTGATAATCGCTTAATGAGAAGTATCAGCTAATTTGCATACAGAAATGAAAAATGATAATTGCTGATAATATTTCACTTTTTCTTGTGACTTTGCATCATTGCAGAAACAATTTTTCATAATAGTATTACTATTTTGTTTAAGCTTTGTTTAAATTGAATTTTCGATAAATCAATTAGCAAAAACACTAATTAATTGAATTTCAACTTTTTAATAAAACATTTCAAAATTGATTGTTTCATTTCAATGTAAGAAAATTTTTTCCAAATAAATTTAAGAATGAAATAAACTAAAAAATTTAAACAAATTATTATTGAATTCGTTCCATTTCATTCATTCATCGAACTGATTAATGAAGCATAAAAATTTTTCGAATGACCAAAATAAGTTTTGTTTATTTGAAATCTAAGAAATCATTGTAATACTCTCTCTCTCTCTCCTTCTCTCTCCCTCTCTCTCCCTTTCTCTCCTTCTCTCTCCTTCTCTCTTCTTCTCTCTCTCTCTCTATAACCTTTCATATTTTTATTCTACAATTTTAAATATCCTGAATTCATAGAGTTCAAATATCCATCGTCCATCACTTTGATGCATACTTATTAGCCATCGCAGGAAAATAAAAAAACTTTAAAAGCAATTATAAGCACAACGTATATATTCTCGTGCTATTGTTTTACGTTTTACACGTAAAATACGTAAAAAATTAATAAGAATTTCATACGTAAAAATTAATCAGAATTTCGAAAAAGAAAAAAAAAAAGAGAAATGCTATTAAAATTGGAAAGGATTTACCAAATTATTTATCTGATTAAAAGGAAATTTTTGTTTTTTTTTTTTTTTTTTTTTTTGAAATTTTTGAAAATTTATTTGAATGAAATTTAAAATTTTGCGTAATTTTTTCAAAATGGATCTATCATAAGCTAAGTTTCTTTTTTTTTCTTTCTTAATTAATTTCACTAAAAAAGATAGGATGATTAGAGAAAGAGAGAAGAGAGAGAGAGAGGGAAAATAAAGCAAATAGAAAGAATGCATGGAATGAGCGAAATAGTGTTGAAATAGTGTTACTAGGAATGTACGAATATGTGTAAGATATGTACTGATTGAAGTGAGAGAAGGAAGAAAAAGATGAGAGAGATAGTGCATGGGAAAAGATTGAGAAAATATTGAAATAGTACGATGGCAGAAGAAATGATGATAGTGATAAAAAGATTTCATAGCAGCTAGAAGAAAAGCGTATTTTAAAGTTTGTTTGAAATGTTGCTAACAAATATTACTTAATGACAGACGATGATGATGATACAGTATTAAATAATTATTAAATTCATTTTCTACCCGTGGGAAAGAATTTTTCCCTACCCATAATAATAGGTAATAAAAGTTTAGCATTATTTTTACTCTTCCATTCGATGAATTCTTGCTGCTTTTTCAAATTTATCATTTCAAATTAACAGGTGTAGATGACGAGTAAAGATGAAAATAGAATGGATTGGACAAGAAAAAGAATGGTTAAATGGTAGAGAAAAAGAAAAAGTCAAAATGTGAAAGTTTATTGTAATATGATTATTATCACGTTAACGTATGTCCAACGTGTATTTCACGTAAGTGTTACTTGGATGAAAGGTTGAAGTGACTAGCTTGAATGATTTCCAGTTTTGTTGTTTACAGTAAAATTTCACTTGTGGAAAACTGAAATAATCTAATTTATCGTAATATATTATAAGTTTTAAATATTTATAAAAAAAGTTTTTCTCCTGTATTTATTGCCAATTTTCTGTTTTTTTTTTTTCTTGCCTTTCATTATTTTGAATTTCAAAATTTCAATAAGATAAGAGAAAAATTAACTGTAATTAGCATTTATTGATAAAATAATGCTATGGCTAGAAATAATTAATATTTCTAATGGATAATATTTTTTCTTTTTTCTTTTTCTATAAAAAAAGAAAAAAATAATTACAATATTTTTTAATTATTTAAATTATTTAAGCAGTAATATTTTCCACTTTATTATTCATTTACTTTTATTTTTAAGTTTTTTTTTTTTTTTTTTTTATGGCAACGTTTGTTATGAAGAGCTTTTTGCAATATTTCATTTGTATCATACAGTGAATAACTGTTCTAAATTATTTTAAAGTGAAATTTTATATTAAATTTTAATCAAATATTAAATTTTATAATGATAATAATAATTACGATTATTTCAGGAATGTGTATAGTTTTCACATTGTATGATGAAGCGCAATTGATTACATTAGATTTGTTGTTTAGCGGAAGCGCAAATGTAACAAGAAATGAAAAGTAACATAAAATTTTATTTAATCGCTGCAGTTGAGTACTTCTTAACAGTTAGCTCAGTTCAACTATTCTTCATCACTTTCTTTCTTTTTTTTTTTTTTTAGTAACAAAAATTATTCTGTGATAATAATTACATTATTACTTTATTTTACTATTACTTTATCATGCTTACTTTGTTATTCTGTAAATATTATAGACAAGTTATAAAATTTTGCTTATAAAAATTTTTCACATGAAGAAATTATATTACTAAAAATAGCATGTTATTGAAATTTAATAATTTATAAAATGAATCTAATTATTTTTACAAATTACTTCTTTCTGATGCAACATTCTTTTATCAATTTATTTTTCTAAAAAAATTTTGACCTAACTTTTTTTTGTGTTTTCTCCTTAAAACCGAAAGAAGAAAGTTTTAAAAAAAAAGAATAGGCAATTTGAGAATTATTTATTTTTTGATTTCACTATACAGATCAAAAATTGTGATAGAGCTTAGTTAAAAAAAAAAAAGAACAAAAATTGTTTACCTTTTGTGTTTTTTCAAAAAAAAAAAAAAATTGTTTATGCCATCAAATGAAATAAATAATTCAAAAAATTTCAGTGTCAACAAATTGCCGCAAGGATTTCTAACATATTGGAATCAAAATGATAAAATTGTAATTATTTTTGAGAAAATGGAAAGATTTGTGATATTTTCGTTTATTTGTTGATAATTTTATGCTAAAATTTCAATGATTTAATTTAACTGTGAATTTTATTTATTGCTGTATAAATTTTTAAATTGCGTTTAGTTTTGTTTATTTTTTTCTTCGGACAAATAGTTATGTTTATTTTAGGTGACAGTCCATTATCAACTTCGATTATAAATTATGAATGTATTGGAAAAAATTACCCGAATTAACATGGGCAAATTGTCAAAGGCAAATTATTATTAATCAGGAATTTTTTCCATCAGTAAATATATTACAATAAATCAGCATTTAACATATATCTTGCTAATTAATTAAAATTGATGCATAAAACTAAGTAACAAATTTATTATTGATTTTATCACACTGATGACATCTCTTATAGGATATCTTTTTGATTATTGACACAAAAAAAAAGAAAAAAATAATTTTTACCTTGTGAAGAATACTCTACAATCCAAATTTTATTACAAAATTAATTCTAACTTTCCTGGTATGCAACTTTTATAAGCTAAATCTAAAATTCAAAAGGATTTTTTTTATTTCAGTACATATCAATTTATTTTTTTTCCCTTGCAAGAAGATAATCTGAAGTAATTTATCCAACCATTCAAAAATATAATCAAAAAAAAAAATAGTTATATCATTTTAAAATTGAAATGATAAAATATTCTCAACTAAAACAGTATGAAAAATTTTTAAGACAAACATTTCTAAGTATAATAAAAGTATTCACAAACTTGTACAGAAATAAATATTTGAATAAAATCAGAAATGAACATTTTTCAAATTTAATGAATCAAATATTCTCATTTAAGTAAAAAATGAAATAATTTTAATGTCAAAATTATGCAAATTTATGATAGAATTTTACATTTGAAAAAAAAAAAAAAGAATTAGGAATGATATTCAAAAATATATGAATTATTTTCCATTTAATTACCGAATGATTTAATAATGATTTAAATCTGATACAAAAAGGAAAAACACAATTTATTTGCAAAATTTTCTTCTAATTAAAGAATAATTTTATTCAAAACTATCTAATCTATACAAATTTTTTTTTTCATTTTCAATTGATTAATTATAATTTTTTATTCTTATTCAAATTTCAGATTAGCAAATGTTTTTGTTTACGTTATATTTTTATATTGCAACGTTATTATACATGATTATTTATCTCTAAATTATTGCTTCAAATTTTAAAGTTTTATATTAGCTAATTCAATTTAAAATATTTTACTAAGATTTGGATTTAATTTATTATAAAAATTTATATCATAATTACATATTCTTTCGTTTTATTTTTTTATTTCTTTTTTTGGACAATGCTATTTTGTAATAGTAATAAAATTTTTGTTTTTAAAATTTGAAACGAAAACTTAAAATGCTATGAAAGCAAATTTATAGAAGTGAATAGTTGTAAATTACTGATAAGTTAAACAATTTTCATTTTGTTTTATTGATTATATTAATTTATTAAATGTTTCAGCAGTTGTTATTAACAAAAAATTAAAGAAAAAAACAAACATTTGTTTATCATTTTTATCGAAATCAATAAATTATAATAATTATTTCAATTACACTACTTTAATAATTAAATTATTTGGCATTAAAAAAAAAAAAAAAAAGAAAACCAATACCATTTTATTATATTTTTTATTTCTTATTTCGATGTAAAGAATGCTTATAAAGATTATATATAAGTTTTCGGTCATTTTTTTTTTTAATCTTTTGATCATTTTCGATATGAATAATTATGCTAAAATTTATAATGCAAAAAAAAAACATTTATATAAAAATTTAATTTCGTTTTTTTTTTTCTTTCTATTTAAATGAATTTGTTTTTTCCTTTTCTTTCCTTATTTTTTAATGATTCCAAAACTTTGACTTTACTAAAAAAAAAATTTTTTTTTTTTTGTTTTACTGTAAATAATGCAAATTTTACATCGAAAGTTTTATTTATTGAAATGATTGGTAGTACGAAAATGCGAAGCAAGCAATGTTGTATAAAATGGAAATAATGGATTAATAAGAAATGGAAATGATTCATTCATTTCACATTCTCGGAATCCTTTTGCAAATGGATTACTCTCAATTTTGAGTTCTGTTATCTGAAAATAATTTAACTATGAAAGAATTAAATTTAATTTAACAAAATATTTACAAAAAAAAAAATTAACAAAAAAATAAAAAAATATTTAACAAAATATTACTTTAATAATTCTTTTTTAGATAATAAAGCTATATCTATTATTTATTATTGTCTATTATTTAGCCAAATTTGCATAAATTATTTTTTAAAAATTTAGCAATTTTTTTTCAGCTTAGATTACAATTTAAAATAATAGCAATATAGTTAAAAATTTTAGATTTTTAATTTAAAATTTAATTATTTACTCGATGATTTTGATAAGCAGTAACAGCCATAAATGATGTATTTGGAAATGAAAATGTTCGACATTGACGTCCACTTCCATCAGCATGCACTACAACATGTATGTTTGGTTGATAACGATGCATCGAATTCACAATTATCTGCAAGCACTTATCATTCATATCACATAGATGTTATCAGATTATCTAAATAAATATACTTAATTATAAAAATATATGTTTTTTTTTTTAAATTTTTAAATTTAAATGTAAAAAATATTATTTAAAATTTAAAAAAATATATTTTTTAAATTTTAAATAATTTAAATGTTTTAAATGCATTTGAAAAGAATTTGTCTTCTTGCATTATTATTTCTAAAATAATTTAACAAAATAATGATAATACTAATAAATACATTAAAAAAGAAAATGCTAAAATTTTAGTATTTTTTTTTTTTGAAATGTTTTTTATATAATAATAATTTTAATCTTAAAATAATTCTCTTAAATCAATTAAAATTACTTATAAGTCAAATTTAACAATTAAATTGAATCATTGAACATAAATGAGAAGCATGTACACTTTAATTATGTTTGTAGTAATTTTAAAGCTAGAATAATGTTTTCCACTTTTTAGTTTATCTATTTTTAATTAATACGTTAAAAAAAAAAAAAAAAAAAACAATTTATTTTAAGTTAGAAATCGTTTCCAATCATTTTCAAAATTGTCAAATTTATAGATTAAGCTGAATGCAATTTTGATTATTTCTCTGATTGCTTTGAGCTCAAAAATTCACAATTTTATTGATTATTTTACCAAGATTTATCTTATCATTTGCTAATAAGGTAAATGATTATAAGATTTATCTTATCATTTGCTAATAAGGTAAATGATTATAAGATTTATCTTATCATTTGCTAATAAGGTAAATGATTATAAGATTTATCTTATCATTTGCTAATAAGGTAAATGATTATAAGATTTATCATTTGCTAATAAGGTAAATGATTATAAGATTTATCTTATCATTTGCTAATAAGGTAAATGATTATAAGATTTATCATTTGCTAATAAGGTAAATGATTATAAGATTTATCTTATCATTTGCTAATGAGGTAAATGATTATAAGATTTATCTTATCATTTGCTAATAAAGTAAATGATTATAAGATTTATCTTATCATTTGCTAATAAAGTAAATGATTATAAGATTTATTTTATCATTTGCTATTAAGGTAAATAGATAAATGATAAAACATACATGCCCGTTCTGATCCAGCTGATTGTTGGTTAATTTAATTTTATCAAACGATACTGTCTGACGCATCCAATGTTCACCAGGAGCTGGTGACTCATTATGCACATGAACTCGACATGGCAATTCCGCTTCGCCTATAAATTGATGCATAAAAATGAATTTATAAATTTATTAAATCTTATGATCAACAAATTTGTTACTAATATTTTACAAAGTAATAGCAGTAGATTATTGATCTGCAGTTTAAGTTAATTTTAGTAATTAAGCATAATTAAGTAAATATATATTTAATAATTAAGTAAATTAAAGAGCAAAAAAAAAACTTTTATGAATTATTATTCAATTAAATGTAAAATATAAATTGAAAAATAAAATATGAGACTTACCTGGTCCAGCAACAATCCATTTTGATTGATGAAAAGCGTAACGATACCTTTTATTATCAATGCACGTCAAATCGACCATTAATGAGTAACGTACGGTTGGTTCTAAGCCAGAGATTGCTACTTGTAATGTTGGAAACATTCGTCTATAATAATAAATGAAAAGAGAGAGAGAGAGAGAAAGAGAAAGAAGGAGAGAAAAATACAAAAATTAAAATAGTTTTATGATTAAATAAATTTGTCATAAATTTTTGAAATGATATATTATTTATCTGTAAATGTTACCAATTATTTATTATTTATTAAAGTAACTGCAAGAAGATAAGACTCAGAAAAATTTATTTACATACATTTAACATTTATAAAGCTTTTATTTTTATTGCTTATTGTTGATAGTGATGTTTTTTTTTTTTTTTTTTTTTTCTTTTAGATTTAGATTAAATTTATATTCATACTTTTTTTTAATTTTATTTTAATTTAAATTATGTAAAGTGATTTTTATCATAAATGCTAACAACTCTATTTGATTTATAAGGTATAATTAATCTAATCCTAACTTTTTACCTCACAAATATGAAATACTTTGCATTCAGTTTTGTGGCTTTTCAAAACAGTGACAATAAATAAAACTTAGAAAAGGTCAATGTGACATTTAATTAGTAATGACCTAATTAATGTCCTATGCTATATGATATGGCGATAGTATTATCAAATGATAGGCAAGTGATAATTAAATTATGATAATATGCATGAATGAAGTATGCTACACTTTTCTTACATTAATAATTTATCATTCATTACCTAAATTTCCAAGTTAGTAAAATTAAAAAACTGAATTTTGAAAGAAATTTTTAATATCGAAGTGCAATAATAAGCTTTTAGATCGACTTTGCATGCAATCCTAATAAGCCTCAATATGCTTATTTAAAAAGATTATTTATAAATAACCTTATTTAGGGTTAAGAAAGAAGATATTAATAATAGAAAATTTACATGTTTTCACCTGTATGACTAATATTATGAAAAACTTTGCTAATTATTATATGTTAAGGTAAAATTAATATTTAAGGAAAAGTAATCAAAATTATGAGTAGCTAAAATTACTTCACTCTTAAGAATATAACTATTAATATCCAATTATAATTAAGGTAAAATAGAGAAAAGAAGAAATATTAGCCTAGAAATCCTACTTCTACACCAAATGAGTAAATTTTGTCCTAGCATTCTTTTTTTTAAATTATAATTACTTCACTCTTGAGAATAACTGTTGATATCCAATTGCAAGGAAACAGTTTAAAAGATCAAAAGTTAAAGCCAAGAAAATTAAATTAAATTAATTGCGAAAAAAATTTTTAAAGTTAATTGTAGATAATATAAGAATTAATACATCTAAAAATCTAGATATAAATAAGTATTATTTTTGATTTGAGATATTCACAAAGTACTATTTGTTACATCAAAAGCTGTCATACATATTTTGTCAAAATACTTACTTCTCTCGGTGTATTACATTATTAAGTAATATATTTTGTAGAATATGAACTATAATAAAAAGTAAAATTGGTAAAAGTGAGAAAGTGTCATTGTAGGTGCATAAACAAATAGTTATTAGCAGTTTCATTAATTGTAATTTATACTTATTCATTTTTATTATTTATGATTTGAGGCATATTAATTACTTATTAACAAGTACTTCCTACAGAATTATTTGTATTTAATGCTAATTTTCGTTCAACATTTCAAGAAAGACCAATCATTGTTTATTTTTTATAAATTCGATTAAAATGTTTTCTCATTGTTTTTTTTTTTCTTTTGTTTCTTTATGATTATCAAAAGTACATTCAATTGTTGAAAAGGTGAATGACATATGATAATATTGTAATATTAAATAGCTTCCATGCAATTAATCTTTTGATGATATCAATAGTTATGAAATTTATTTCGAGTATAATAGTTATGATTTCAATCATAAATGATAACCAATAGATAAAAATAATATTGATAATAATAATGTACGAGTAATAATAATAATAATAATAACAGTAGTAAGTAATAATAGTAATAACAATAATAAGTAATAATAATAACAATAATAAGTAATAATAATAAGTAATAATAATAATAATTTCGAAAGAGTTCAACTAATTAATAAAATGATTAATCAAAATTTTCTTGCTATTTTATTCTTCCTGTCAATCATTTCTAGCACTACCCATTCTGAGAAAAACTATAATAAATAAAATGACAAGTTACTAAAAGGTAACAATAACAATTTTTATGATTTAATTCAGTCTATTTAATTAAACAATAATAAACAAACATGTTTTTTTTTTTTTTTTTTAAATTCACTTCAAAATTTAACTTTTAATATAATTTATTAATTGTAAAAGGTGAATGTAAATAAAAATATAGAAGATAACAATGAAAAATGAAAAAGACTGCTACTGTCTGTAACTAATCATTCACTTACCTTCCAGTTTTTGTCACAATCATTTCAGTACCATATGCATGAAATTTATTCCATAATGTGGCACCTTCTAAACGCACTGATACATTGCGTAATGCTGAATGATAATCTTTCAACATAATCGATGATTTCTTCGTTGTCAAATTATGATTGAAATTATTTTCAGTATCAATAATGGTACCATTACTATTAGTATCATAATTAAGTGTAGTTTTTGATATTACAGGGAATAATTTTAGAGTATCCGTTATTCGACTTTTGGCGACGTTCATACAATTATTATGAATTTCAGTATTAACATTATCATTATCATTATCATTACTATTATCGGTTACAGTATCACCGATCAAATATGCAATGCTGAAAGGCTTTGCAGACATGTTGACGCCTTGATAGAGGAAGTTTCACATCACACTAAAAGCAGCGATAGCTGATATTACTACAAGTGGTGCGGGTGCTGGTGCTAGTGGTGCTAGTGGTGGTGGTGGTGGGAGGTAGTATGATGGTGATATGATGATGTTTGGCGGTGCTAATGTTATTGTCGGGAAATTGGGGCGTCGTCGGGAAAAAAAATTCTGAGAAGTGTAGAAAAGATGGGATCAGATTTCGGAAGGATAAGGAAAAAAATGGAATTTTTGATTATTTTGTCGCGAGAATGTGAGAGTAACAATGATAATGATAATAATAATATTAGTATTAAGAATAAGTGATGGTGATGATGATGATGATAAGGAGGAGGAGGAGGAGAGTTAAATGATAGTGAGAAGGTAATGATGATAATGATAATGATAAAAGCCGATGATAGAAGTAATGTCAAAGTCATCACAAATAGAACGACTAAAACACATGGTGAATTGGAAAGTTTTATTTCCACTAAGCTATCATCTATTACCATCTGGCAGCAATATTACAGTAGTATTAATAATAGCTTTCACATATGATTCTCACAATATACCGTACGATTGATAGATGTGAAATTGCATTGTATCGATCTCATCAATCAAATAAATAGTGATGATGATGATGATAATGATAATGATAATGATAAGAGGAGAAGGAGAAGGAGAAGAGCAGAAAGATGATAACAAAAGTTGCAAAGTAAATATATAATATATATGTATTATATATCGTTGATTTAATATCAATATAAATATTTCGTTTTTTTAGAAAAAAATTACAAAATTTCATTTAGCAAATTTATCTTAATAACCTTTTTGAATATATTTATTTAAAAAAAAAAAAAAAAAGAAGAAAAAAGAAAAAATAGATAAATTTTTTAATGAAAAAAGAAATGAAAAAAAAAAATCTTTTGTTTCACAAATGAGATGAAGTAATTAATTAATTGATTTCATTGATGAAACGATAAATTAATTGGCTAAATCGCATATTATAAAGTGTCATAGATTAATGCCATATGAAATAGAAATAAATGTTGCTATAAAGATATCATACAATTATCTTTATCACTAACAACTGATATGTATGATCACGAAGTGATTGAAAAAAAATAACATTTACAGAATATTTGTAGAAGTTAATTTAATCCAGCAAAAGCCCATAAAAGATAACAATTTAAAATTTCTCACTAAATTTCTCAAGTTCCATTATTTATGAATTAAGTAGTACATTTTAACCAATATTTTTAGTCTCTTTTTTTTTAATAATTTTCGTGTGACAGAATAATATAATAACTTTTGCTTTTTCTTTTTCGTTTCTATGTGTTACCTATATTATAATAGTTTAATTTAATTGGTATTATTACAAATTATGAGCATTCTATCTTATTTGTTTGCAAATTTGATCTATTTTGACAAATTTTTGCATGGTTTTAAAAAATTTATTAATTATTCTAGGTTTCATTTTTGAAAATTTTTATCAATTATTTCAGGCATATAATCTTAATTTATAACTGTAAAAATTTTAACCTTATCAAAATTCGAAGTTGAAGATAAATCTTATCAAACTATTACTATCATTTGGCATATACTTTTTTTTAACATTTCTTTTGTTTTTTATTTTCTACCCAACAGAATAGCAGTAGTTCATGATGGATTAATAGGCCACTTTGCTATTGCTATTAACCACAAGGGAAAGATGATGCGATCGAAACATCTGGTAACATACTGACAGTTCTAAGGGATTTATTCTTTCTCCAATATTTCAAAATGTTTTCAAGATGTTTCGATCTGATGGAGATTTATGAGTCGGAAAAAATTATAGATCTCTTTTCTAAATACTTCATCGTAAAATACTTTTAATGATTCCTTGATTGGTTTACAATAAATTTTAAAGTCTCCTATTTGTTATTTCCTATTTTAAAAGATTAAAGATCTTTTGATATATATATATATATTATTATTATTATTATTATTACTAATGCAAATATGCAAATACTAACAGTAATAGTAATAGTGATGATTTTATAGCAATAACAACTACAGAAATAACAAACAACAACAACGATAATGTCATTTTATTTACAATAGAAACAATAAAATGGCATAAGTGCTACCATCACTAATCTCGTTTTATCTGCCTTGCTATAAGTAGATAATCCAATGTATATTTATTTTGATCAACTCTGAAAATTATAAACCATATATTTTCTTAAAATAACAATTAAACAATAAATTTCGCTAAAAGAACAATTTATCAATTACTTATATATATTCCTTTTTTTCTTGAACTCAACTAATCTATAGCAAATAGTAAAATGCATATTATCGTTCATACAAAAATTGATAAAATTAATTTAATAACAATATTTCAATCGATTATTGGAATCTTTTTGTTAAATTCAAAACATCTCTTACATGCAGTGTGATATATAAAACTTTTACTGGGAAAGAGCTAGAATAACGAGGCAATACACATTACATATAATGTTAAGACTTACAGTTTTGTTATTTGATTTGCATAATCGGATAAACGTTGTTGTAAGGCGGTTAGGGAAGTTAAGTTAGCAGCTCGATTAAGTTTTATTTGATATCCATATTCCATTAGCAAACTTTTCAGCCAAAGCTGCCAGAAATGAATATGTTTCTCAATAGAACCATTAATATTTTCAGCCAGCCATTTCAGTAATTTCTCCGCATAAGCAATAGACAAAGAACGCGTAGCTATATCGACTGAAATAACATTCAAAAAATTGTCTCTTAAACTGAATATAAACTCTTCGTTTTAGAATAAAGCACATGTAATGCTTTATTCAAATACAAGTAAGAACAACATGGAAATTTTAAGAAATATGAAGTAATAATTCATGACCTACAAAAATATGGACTAACTTACTTCTAGTAGCAATAAAAAATTCTAATCATGAAATTCCTCTAAATTTTGAAAGAACATTTGCAAATAAGATAAATCTACTTTGTGCTACGGGTGTACACAATAATACGTTTTCGATTATTTCCAATTGATTCAACTGCAATGCCATTTTCAGTGCTGCCGAATATTCTCCTTCTTTTAATGCGTTTTCAACACTAACTGGAGTTACTTGTATCCCAAGTTCAAAAGGATTGAAAAGATTACGATGATCGAGGGAGAATATAGCAACACCTTCTGTTGAACAAACTGCAAAACTACGACCTGAAAGAAAAAAAATTAACTATACTTAATTATTAGGAAAAAAGTAGCTTTATGATGCCAATCTTCGAAATGAATCATCTTATTGTACAGAAATTTCGAAGTTATTTGCAAAATTATGAACTAATTACCTGCAGGTGAGAAATTTATATCTTCAACGCGCATTTCTGGTCGAGAGGATCGCTCAGAAAGATCTGAATGTCGAGTACCTGGGAGTTTTATACGTTTCTTACCATCCGCTTCTTCTTCGCTATCGCTAGCGTCAATTAACATCATATTACCAAACTCCGAGAAATTACGCCGATTTATATCCATCTAAAATCAAGGCATACAGAAATGTAAAATTGATTCAAATTTTTGTAACTTTTTAAGTAACATACCTTAACTCCATCCAAACTACGATTCGTTGTTAATTTCAATTTCTTTAATATAAAACGTTCCGCAACGCTATATAAACATATGTAATTCGATTGGCCAGCAGCAAGAAGTAATGTACCATCAGCGGAAAAGCATATGCATGTAAATGTCCTTAAAAAAAAAAGAAAAAAAAAAACCAAAATTATAAAAAATTCTCAAAAATTGAATGATGAATTATTATTCAAACATCTTTTAAGATTTGAGACAAAACTAAAATTACCTGCTCTTTTCACCTGTTTTCTTTTTAATAAGATCAGTGGCTTTGCGTGCAGCATCAACATCAAGAGCTGTATCTATTGTACCAAGCTCCGTAGATGTCTGAGTCTCGAAAAGACTCACTGACGAATCAAGGCATAATACCTAGAATATGACTTTTTTTAAAAAAATGATTTATACCTATCAAAACCACTTAATTAAAAGAGAAGAAAAACTTACAGCAAGTATCTCACCGCCAGGCGAATAAGCAACATCAAGACCTTCGTAGAGCAAATCTATAGTTTCTGCTATAGATGATTGAACAACATTCCATATACGAAGAGTTTTATCCCAAGATACTGAAGCCAAATGTGTACCTAAAAACTCACTTTCAAATTCCACTTGAGAAAGAATGAAATAAAATTTAAAAACTCAAATCATATGCATACTTCACATTGAAACTTGAATGTATAATAGAAGAATTTCATAATGTTAATCCACGACCATAAATATAGAAGGACCTTACAATATAATAGAGGGCAAAAGCAAAAGGCAAAAGTTCTTTTATTGTAAAAGAAATAAAATTAATTTTCCAAGTAATATTTAAGCACACACACACAGAGACAGACATACACTAACCATGAACAGAAATAGAAGCAACTGGAGCTGAATGTCCAGACAACACATCCAGCAATTTTCCATTCTCGAGACTCCACACATAAATGGTGAACATTTCTTTGGAACTTGCCATTACAAGTTCGGCAGCCGAATCAACTGCTAGAGAGCCAAGCTGAGTCTTATCAGGACAAACCATTGTACGGAAATTGCGATATCTATAATGCTCATTGTGATATTTGTTAATCTTAACTGAACTTTAAGTCAGAGGATAAATTTTTTAACTTGGACTAACCTAATTAGATCATGTGCTCGTACAGTTCCATCTAGTGATGCTGACAATAAAGCTTTACCATCAGAAGTCCAACAAACCGCGCTTACTCCACTGCTATGCTCGGTGAATGTTACAACACAAAACGAAGACCGGCAAGACCAAACTTTCACCTGAAATATTGAATTCAGTCAAAATTTTTAAGATACAAATGTCTTGTCAATGATGAAGAATCTATTTTTAAGAAAGTATTTCTTCAGAAAATGAAATTTTGACAAACTATAACAATACAAAACCATCAATTTTTATTTGAAGAACTGTTTGGAAAAGTCACTGAAACATAAGAAAAGGAAACCTTTCCATCTTCAGCACCGGTAGCAATTTGAGACCCATCAGGTGAATAAGCAACTGTTGTAATGGACTGACTATGTGACTGCTGTTTCATAACGTAAGTTTCACTTTGCCACTCCCAAACTACTAACTGACCTTCTGTTCCTTTTCCACACGCTATTGCTATCCAGTCACCAGATTTGTTAACAGCTAGAGATGACACCTTTGTTTCCGACACCCTTTATTTGAAAAAAAGATTACAATCCTGCACAAATCATAAAGTCATCTAAGTAATCTGAATTATTATAATTTGGGAAATAAAAAATAAGGACCTAAATCACTAATTTATTTCAAGATTTTCTATATTATTAGAGAACAAACTGGATATATCAAAGAATAAAGTTGTCATCTTAAACTACTTAATTTTTTTTTTTTTTTTTTTGTTTAAAGAATAATCGCTAAATACCGTCTACAGAGAGGCACGTGGAATAATTTACCGTAAACTGTAGATAAGATTAAAATTTGGTGTTTCATGCAAAAGAAATGCTCCATTTGAAAATGCGGTGATCAACATTGATGTTGGTGGATGGAAGCTACTTGCTGTGAGATTAACGCCGTGTGCATTATCCAAATGCTCCATCATGAAATGTCTGAAAAATTCCGAACAATCAAAATAAAAGACGAGTAAACGAGTAATTGTGGTCTTGTTAAGATTAAATAAAACCATAATCTAATACTGAAATAAAAACAAATGAATCTCAACAGGACGTAGAAATGTGGAAAAGACCAAAAGAAAAGAAAAAAAGGAATTCACACATAATCAAAGTAAATTACAAGAATGTCTTGTCGATTTTCCTTAATCTTACATCCTGCAACACAAAGAAAAAACCAAATCAAAAATATTACCTCTTTGTTTTATCGTACCACATTTTCTTTACATCTTTAGAAGTATTTTTTGAATGCAACCTTTCAACAAAATCTTCTTGTTTCAGAGCACAAGCCCAGTGATTAGCTAGCCCACGCTTATCAACTGATATTAACTGGAATGAAACCCATTAATAGGACAGAAATACATTACTAGAGCTCAACAATTTAAAATATGTCCCGAAAGGAAGTATTGAGCAATGAACAAAAGGATAATAGTGAGCAGCAACTAAAAGAATTTCAAAACAGCGACTGCATCATCAATAGATGACAAATTTATTCCGGATTTCATTCCTTTGTAAAGGAGAGTACCAGCTCCATGTTAAGATATCTTTATAAATATAAGCATTTCTTGAAAAGATGGTTTTTATTTTAGTGTTTTTTATAATTTCCAGTTTGTGTTAATATTTCAATTAAAATTTAAAATTAGTAAATTGGGAAAAGTTAAAAATTACATCGTATGAGTTGTGGCAAAAATGACTGCCCACTACTTCTGCTTTATGTGCAGCCAAAGCATGCAAAAACAAATTTTTCAGAGCATCTACGGGTGAAACCACACGCACTTGCTTGTCTTCAGAACCCACTACCAGCAATCTGAAATAAAAGAAAAAATGAAGCGTTGTATAATATGAAACTTCATGAAGAAAGTTAACATAATAATCAACAGGAAGAAGTGAGAAACCAATCCGGTAATGTTAGAAATAAGCAAAATACCTGTCATCATAGCTCCATTCAACGTTTTTCGCTTTTTCAGCAGTGATTTTATGAGTATGCAACAACATAAATGGGTTCAGCTGAAAATTCTCAATCCCTGCAACCAGAAATACTTGTACATCACCACCTCGACAAGCAGCTAATCGCCTAAAAAAATTTGTTTCTGCGCACCAAAAATTAAATGAATGGTTTGAAAGACTCATTTTTACAGTAAAATACACAACTTTCAGTCTAAATACAAACCTTCCATCCATCGAAAACTTGGCATCACTAACACAAGCTCGAAAATTATGTCGATACAGAACCGTATGTGTAATTAAATTAATATACTGAGCATGTCCAGCTATAAAATGAAATATTATTAGCAAATAACATCGACGTAAATAGGTATTTTAATGAGAAAAACGATATGATGAACACACATGATAAAAATATAATGATGAAAACAATGCCACCATAAGCAGTTCATTTGGACCAAAAAACTATAAGGAATGAGGGAAATATAATAAAGATTACTAAGATTAAAAGTAACCTTCATTTACTAGAAAAGCGTGCATTCCGGATGGATGAACAGTTACCAACTTAATATTGAAATTTGATTCGGTGGCAATAGTATTTGCATGGTTGCTGTAATTAACTAACATTACAATTCTCACAATAATGTTTAGCAATTGAAAAACATACAGCACGTAAAATCGCAATGATAAAAGTAGAAGAGAATCGCAATACCAGACTCACTTTTTCAGATCAAATACTGTGACTTTATTACCAACTGGACTGATAATTGAATTACCATCAGTTGAGAATGTAACGTTGCCATCACGGTAAACAGTACCGATAAGGCTTGAAAACTAAAAAAAAAAAAAACCGATTAAGCACAACGGCCAATCTACTTTAGAGCATGTCAATCAGCTAACTCAATTTTGAAGTATTCCAGAACAAAAACAATTCTTGTATAAAATGACTTTTGTAAACAAAATTTTTGCAAACAAACAAATAAAGTTTCCCAGCGCAAACAATACTATAACAAGCATCTTACCCCTACTTAAAGTTTATCAGAACACATCAATTTAAAGACTAACTTTGAAATTGATGTTCATAAATGCCTTTCCTTTCCAAATAGAATTTCGATTTGAATGAAGTTCCAAAAGTAATAGAAAAAAAGATCAATTCCTGTAAAAGATTCAAAAAGTAACAAGCAAATTTTCAGAAAAAAAATTTAATTTTTAGCTCAAGGAATGTAGAAAAAAAAGATAAAATTATGTGGCAACAAATTACCAGCATGACTTGTATATTTATCTGTACATATCCTGTACAAATAACTTTCGACGCTTTTTATTACTCTCAAATATGAATAAACTAAGTCGTAACAAATTAGCATATCAAATAACAAAACTCAATCAGACAAAACAATGAGACAAGGCAAAACAAAGCCGTACATAATTTAAACAACTAAACTATTCTCCAATATATAAAACGTTGTATATATAAATAAATAGCATGCAAAGAAAACATAAATTAATCTTTTATTATCAATGTTTACAACGATTTATTTTGAACATCGCTTTCTTTAGCGAGTTTAACTTTGCCACTGGATCCTTTCCTTTTACTTTCTATAGCATCCAACAGCAAACCAGTAAATACAACGACGGTGGCTAAAGACTGTCTCCCTGTTAGCGTATTACCAAACAAGATCACTGAACCGAGCATCGTGAATAATTTACGTGTTGTTGTTACAATTGAACAAGTGAGCGGACCAAACTCTGCTACAGTTTTGAAAATGAAGAACTGAAAATGGTAAAAGATAATTCAAAGACTGAAAAAAATTGGTTTTCTAAATCAATTAAAATAAAGTTCCTAACTCATGAAAATAAAATAATAATAATAATAAAAAACTACATAAAAAAAATGATACCTGTCCCAGAGCACTTGCAGCAGCAAGAGCAAATAATTCTATTATTATTTTCGGGTAAGATTGCACAAATATCATGAAATCGAGAAATTCACCGGTTAAAAGCAGACCGACTAGAAGATATAACGAAGAAAATAAGTTCATATTATACATCATACTGTGAGCATTTGCCTTATGCCGCTGACGAATTTTGTCCTGTATTGCGCCTGTGGTACCATCCATTGCCAACGATAGCAGCTATAAATTTAGCATTTAGCCTCTCCCATTAGATTTTAATAAAATACATATAGTTTTAATAAACATTAGAAGAAAACTGGAGTACACTACGGTTTCAGTCAAATGCCCAACAGATGTTCCATGAACTTTTGTAACAAGCAGATATTTATAAATGTTGAAATGAAAATCTTGTAAGATATTAAAGAGTATTGAATCAATCATCAATATTTAAACATAAACTATTTCCAAGTGCAACATGTGCAACATGTTAGTGATTACAAGTACTACGATAAAAATTATTCCGCAAACTCGTTCACCAGTCAGAAAAGACCTATGATGTAACATGGTTTTACAACGGATAAAAGTAACAGTAACATACCAGTAATAGTTCACCAAAACCTAAACTGAAAGCAGATTTTCCATATGTTATATCTGTTTTTTCTTTGTACAGAAATAATACAACACCAAATACAATCATCAAAACACAGAAACATTTCTTCAAATGGTATCGTTTATTAGCGAAGAGGAAACCGAAAACCATTATGGGTATTGGTTTACATGATTTACTCAAGACCTAAATCAGATTAAATTTAAGTGAAACAATATGCAAAATAAGACTGTAGAAAAATATGTTTACTTTTATTTAGAAATATCACAAACAGATACTTTCCCTACGATGACAATTCATATAACTGGATATCCGGAAGTTTATCAAGAGAAGCTTATGAATGTAAACTAATCCACATTACGATCAAAAGGGATTTTTTTTATCTCCATAAATAAACAACAAGATAAGAAGCATTGAAAGGATGCTAACCTGCGTTGGATATGGTATATACTGTAGTGCATGATTACTTGTAATCATTGCAAATAAGTAGCTAGTAGACATGATAGCATATGTGTGTGTTGGCACACTATCTTTCGTTTTATCTGTCAAAACATATGCAAATATTGTATTTACAACGCATTGTACAAATACCAGTGCTTGTGTGTATGTGAAACGTTCATTTCCATCAGAACCATATTTACCCTTTATTCTGAAATAGACAATACAATCAATTTTTTTTTTTTTTAATTTGAAAGTATAAATGCTACATCTTCAGCCGGATGCTTTTGTGTTCGCAAAGATAGAAACAAAAAAAAAAAAAAAAAAGCAAAACCAGAAAGTAAGAACCATACATTGATTCTTGAATGATTCCAAACCAAAAATAACAAAGCAAAGTACCACCGGCACAAAATAATAGATTAGCTGCTTGTTTCCATAATGTTTCATTTACATAACCTTCATCTTTTAATTTCTTGCTATCACCAGTTATCGTTTCACGCATTTCTTTCATCGATGTGAAAATCGATATGTATTTATATATGTATATGTTGAGATTTTGGAATATTAGTTCCCTAAAATATATGTGCTTGTTAGTTCCATACAATTCTGATGAAACTATCACACGATAATCTCTTACAATTCAATTCATTTCAACAACATTGAATAACAAAATAATCTTCATTGGCTAATCATCTGCAATAAATTAAATAAGGAATCAACCACTAATATAATGTTTAGATTTTACTTAAGCATTTGCTACAAAGTCTATTCGTAAGGTTTCTCTCTTTCTGTTTTTCACCACAGCGTTAATTAAATTTCCTTTTTTCCTTTTTTTTTTTTTTTAAAAAAAAAGTAGCTTATTGCAAGAGAAAACTAAAAATTTGAATGTGCATAAATTCAGAACTGGAAATAATAAAATAATTGAATAAGTTGAAACTATAAATGTAAAAAGAAAAGATTTGTACCTAAGATTATAAGTGACACAAAAGAGAAAAAAAGTGACTGGTAAAAATCGACAGGATATGTAAATGTAAAAAAGTTGGAATAAAAATCAAATAAATACTTTATCTCTCTAAAATAATATAGAGTTAAAGCTTTTTTAAAAAAAAAAAGTTAAAAACTGATAAAAAATACAACGAAGAAATTTCAAAAAAAAGAAAAAGATTATTAAAGGTGCTGGGATGGTAAAAATCAACAGTATATACAGATGTAAAAAAAGGTTGAAATAAAGATTAAATAAGTAATTTAAATAAAATAAAACTATCGTTATAAAATAGCAGAGAGTTAAACCATTATTAAAAAACAATACAAAAAAAAAATCCTTACTTTTCGTCCAAATAAAACGATGTTACTATTAAATATCCCATTAAATACTTAAATATTAATTGCCCATTCATTCGTTTTGTTATGTCTTTAATTGAAAATACAGTGATTTCTTCTTCTTTCGTCCTTTCTTTTTTTCAAATTTACCTTACCTAATACTTATATTCTTGGTATTCATTATGAAAAAAAAATTGGCTACTTGCTCCCAAACCTTTAATGAAATCCTGCAAATAGGAAATCAATTTGAAACCAGAACTACTCATGCAGCTCAATATCAATCGTTACGGGAACAATGGTTATTGACGATAATTGGGATTCGTTGTGTTGGTACTTGTCGGTGTCTCTCCTCTCTCTTCCTTCTTCTTTCCTTTTTTTACCTAATTTTTTTGAGTTTTATTGAGAAGAATAATATAACAATTCGATTGCTTTATTACTTTATATCTTCCATTCATTATTATTTATGTATTTTCATCTATAATAATTTACTGCTAATTCATTTATAGGTTATATTATTATATCATATTCGTGGAGTAATAGAGTGATGTTTTGAAGCTTTATTTTATTATTTTACTTGAGAACGTATAAATAGCACTTTCTCAATTTATTTGATTGTTGGTTTTGTACCTTCAGCTAAAGAATTTATGGGTAGACTTAATCATATTTTTTATTGCTAGTTTCTTAACACAAATATAGATATGTGACTTGTAGTGTATGGTTTTAATGAGATAATGAAATTTTTTCTGCTGTTAATCATTGTAGTCTTTATTGTTTTCGAATGTTTGCTTATCTTTTGTTTACGCATCTTTTTGTGCAGGTCTTACTGATAACAAGTATATTTCGGAATTCATAACTTGTAACTACTCGATGGATGAAAGTGAAAATGCTGTGATGGAAGGCAGTCGGCAGACACGGGGTGACGATAACAATGAAGGGATATATGCAAAAGAAAACGTTACGCATAAGAATGAGAAAGATGAGCTTCGGACTGAAGACGGATGTGGTATCCGTGCAAGTGAAACTCCTCAGATTGCGCATGAAAAATTTGACTCCTCGGAGCACGCTGCAGTAGCAGCAAAGGATGGTGAAGAAGCAGTTGTAGACAAAACATGTTCGCAGTCTGGGATAAGTAAAAATGGAAGTTTTGGTACTGAACATTTCGATGCTATTAATCAGAGTGTTCAAGAAAATCAATATAATGATGAAGGTAGTACTGGAAAGCAAAGCTCGTCAGAAATATCGGAAAATAAGGTGACATGTTTATATTTGGCATACTGTATGTTATTAAATTTTGCCTAAATCCAATTTCAAAATGCGAAGGTATTATGGATAAATTCTTTGTTTATCATTTACTTTTTTCTCAAATCTAAAGCACTCATTTTAGGTTGTCGAAACTACTCATGACAGTTCAGAGACAGCAGAAGCTCGAAATATTTATAATGCTGGAAAGTCGCATTCACAAGGTTTTTAGTTAACTAAACTAACTTTAATTAGATAAAACAGGACGAGCAAAATAAATTAGAGTAAACTCAAGTATTTTGAATCTTAAATAGTCCCAGCTTTTTTTTCATGGACTTATTGTTCTTTATTTATATTTAGTTTTATTTTAAGAGGTTAACTTTCAAAGTGGTGAGTGAGCAATTCAAGTAATTGCTTAGTATTACCGAAATGATTGTTTTAACTGGATAATAAGTCCTATTTCAAGTTCTGAACTAGTTCTCTATTAGATTACCATCCAGTATTATGTAAGGAGAACAGATGTAAGATATAATGAATTTTAAATGAACTTTAGAATTGGAAAAGTAAGTTCAACCTTGGCATTCAATTTCATGTGTCTGAAGAGTGAAGGAAGTATTTTGAGATGGCGATTGTTTTGTCTTTAATCATTTTACTTTCAGTTCCGAAACACTATGTCCCTCCAGGTTGGATATATCACGGCGAAAGTGATGGATATCGATATTATATAGGTTGTGCAGGAGAGGTAAGTGTCAGTATTTTTGGCTAATTTTAGTGCTTGTACCAGTTTTATTTTTTGATTCACTTGAATATCCCAAAATGGTTTGAACGAAAAATTAATCCTCAAGTTGTTAGAAAATATATACATTTTGATTAAACAGTAATCTTTATTAACATAATTTTGAAATGAAATTTCTACACTTTCCTTCTTAATAGGTAGGTAGCCATATTGATGATTATTTATGGAAATACGTTTATTTTGTTTGACTGGTTGCTTTTTTGCTCAGTTACATTTTCTGCTTGCTGTAGTGAGCGGTCGGTTGGCCATGCGTTTCTTTAACTCTAGGGCATTCATACGACCAAATATCCATCGTCATATTACATTTTCGGTTTGCTATTAATTTTTTATAAGTTTCCAATCTTGTATATCATTGGAACTGCCATTTCAAAAATTTTAGCAATAATAGTTTATTGAAATAATATTGTAAACTGATGTTTCTTCCCTTCAAAGCTTTCCGTAAGTTAAAAAGAGCGGAAGATTGAAAGGCCTTCACCGAATCTATCTGAACACCGTTTCATAATACGAATTTATATAAACATATATACGGAGTTACTTACATGATCGGTCCAGAAATAGATCAATTACATTAGAAATCTTAAGCAGCATCAGATAGTGCTACGAGATGTTCGATCTAGATTGCCTATGAAATGAACAGTTTAAACGGACTTTTTGTTTTATTGTTGTCTCTTTCAGAGCTCATATTATGTAATAGCCCATCAGCTGACTGAAAAATTTCTGGTAGTTTTAAATTGTAATTTAAAACTCCTGCAGATGTCTTGAAATGTATGAAATATGTGTAAAAAAGTGAAGCATTCTAGTAACATTTTTGGAGGTAAAAGGTTTTTTTTCAGATGTATTCGGTGGATAGAGATGGCTACTGGTACATGCAGGATGGCAGTGGCAATTTTATCCCATACAATGGTTATCAATATAATCGCGGAACACACAGTTCTATATTTCCACGTGATAGTCAAGGACGGTTCATTTTGCCAACAAATGCGCGTGGTGAAAAAGCTTTTCCAGTGGATACAAATAATATGCCAATTTTCCCGTTCGATACAACAACTCATTTGCCTACTTTTCCTGTAGATGAAAACGGGCAACCTGTGTTTCCAACTGGTGCTCTCGGCAGACCCATTGTACCGATCGATACAAACGGTAGTTCATTTCCTTTAATAAATCTAAAGCCTGTTTCTTTCAAACTAATGTAGAAATCTCAATTCAAAATTATTTACTTGTCAAGAAATTTTTTGCTCAATATTTCTCACTTAGCTACAGAATTGATTAAATTGCAGCATGTTGCACTGATTTTTTCCAACAATTCTTATATACATTCTTATTTTTCCATCAGTATTGTCACTGATCATTTTAAGCCTTTCTTTTTAGAGCATACTTATAAACTGCTTTTTTATCCCAACTGCATTTCTCTTTACATAAATTCAGTTATGTTATGTTCTGTTTAGATAAGTATGAGCATAGATCATCTGCGCTGTAAAATTAATACATTCAAACTTCCGAAGATTGATAATATCTTTGTCAGGAGCAGTGATAATAATAAAGAGATAAGAACTGCAAAAATTAAAGTGTAGTTTTTTAATCCATTTTTTTATACTATAAATTTAATGTGCTGCAATTGATTGAAGCTGTATTGTAATTAAAATTTTATTCTTAATTTTAGTGCATTTTTTTTGCAGGCTTGGCTATATTTCCACGTGATGCAAATGGTCGATTCATATTTCCTTCTGGGCCGAATGGCAGGCCCACAGCACCTGTGAATATCTATGGTATTACTTAATTTTCTTCTAAATCTTGAACAACAAGCTGAATTGTATATCTCACTTCTGAAATAAATTGTTATATTAATGACAGTGGCATTTTATCATTCCTAATGATATAAAAGATTCATTGCAGGTGTTCCAGTAATGCCGTTGGATGAACAGGGAAAGCCAGTAGTACCGTACGATGCGAGTGGAACACCTCTCATTCATTTAGCCAGTGATGGTAGTTTTGTTATCCGTGTTTCTGTGCTTTTTATCATGAAACATTTTAGCTTATGTTTAGCCTTTTCAGTCTACGGTTAGTTTGGGCAACCAAAAACAACAGTCAGAGGAGTGCGGCCAGTGCTACTATAGCGGCGCGTATTGCATCACTACAGTCATGTTCTGTTCTTCCTTTACTATGATTTGTTTTTCGTTGTAAATTCTTTTCTATGAAAAATGGAACAGAAGGCACTGAAAGGATTAGAAAAGTACTAGCGTAAATTGGCATTATTGGTATTTGGCTCGATTTGTAGGCATAAATCGATGTTTTCTGTGTGTGTGCTAGAAGTGGAATCGAGCAAATCAATGATCCGCCTCGAATGTTACTCGCCTGAGCCGAAACTCTCTGAGGCTGTACTGTATCAGTGCCTGAAAAAGGCGAAAAGTGGTAAAACGAAATTACGACTTAATGGGTAGGCTTTTGTTATCTGTTATTTAGTTTTGCTACTCTTATATTTTACAGGTATGACTCCTCTCACTGAAGAAGAATATCAGTACTCTTTGCAGTGGAACGACTATTACAATCGTTATTATAAGAACACCGCAGAACAAGTTTGTTGTCTTTAATTTCTAAATTGAATATAATATAAAATCAAGTTAGATCTGCAGAATTGCTAAAAATTTGCAATGATTGGGTCGTTCTACAAAGCGTTTCCATCTCTCTATTAGCTATCATTCGTTCTAATCTTTGAATGTAATTTCCAATGTAAAACTTTCTTTGTATTATTGAAATTATAATTTTGAATCTATACATAATTCAGAAAGTAAGCAGTTCAAGTCATTCTGAAGTGCAACCGACTGCTACGAACGACACGTATGAGCAGAAAGCGAAGAATATGAAATTGCTAAAAAAGGTGAACAATTTCAGTCAAAATTTCAATTTAAATCTTGAAGAGATATTAATAGAAAAAATCTGACTTGGTTTTCTATTTCACTTCAGTATTTCTGATCGAATTTCAGGTTCGGCCTGAAGACATTGATTTGCCGCCGTGTGTCCCACCTCCACCATCAACACAGCCTCCACCACCAGTTTCAGATGGATCTGCTTTATCTGGTGATGTGGAGAAAAAAGCAACTCCTGACCCTGCTTTGAAGGCAAAAACCAAAAAAATGATTGAAATGCAACTAAAATTCTCACGCAAAAAGTTTCGTGATGTAGCTCATTCCTCAGTTGCAGTGTTGCCCTCTAATGAATCGATAAATACATCCGCTGAGCATGCACTATTACCTCGACAGCCAAGCGATTCGCCGGAAAATATTGGCAAAATAGAATCACCAAAGGAACGGCCTCCTCCTCCTCCGACGCATGCTCCAACACCAGACCTATCCATAGCTGTAGAACCTGATAATACTGAAGTTATTAAGTCATTTAATATGGCACTCACTAGTTCACCGAAATCACTGGATTCGCAGATTATGCAAAAACTGGGCAGAAATTTTAGTGATGATTTAGAAGTGAAGATGCAAAACGCCGTCCTGCAACCAGAACCTGCTCCAGTTATTATGAATATACCAGGCAAAGAAGTCAGAACATGTGGTGGTGTGGAAAACTTTGAAAATCCGAAATTATTCCCAGATTTGTGTGGGAATTTAAGAAATGAATTTCAAGCGAATAGTGAAGCCTTCGGAAAAGTGATTACGACGAAATTAGATGAGCGAATGTCTGGATCGGGGAATGAATTCATTTCTGCAAAGCAGCCGAAGTTTGTTTTGACAGACAGTCCGGTTAAGCTGAACGCTGTCTCAGAAAAAGAGCCGCAAGATAAAGAAGATATTGAGGAAGAAAAGGTTCCCTTATACTAATCCATGTCATTTAAATTTTCTGTGGAAGCATAGGATTAGAATTCTTTTGAAATGAGCAATTTATAAACTATTTGATTATGCTAGAATCGAATAACGACTTTTCAAGATCAGTCCACTTATTTTACAGCAGTATTTCATCAGTATTTTATATCAGTGAAACGAATTGAAATTACATGTTTTAGGTGGCAACAAGAACAAGGCTATCTGTCGGCTATGAGTCAAAAATCGAAAATCAGGTATTGCGAAAACGTGATGACAACGATGAATCTATTTCGATTTCACGTGAAAAACGTTCCGAGAAAAAGATGCGCCATCGTGATGGGTCGAAAGGGAAAAGAAGAAAACGAAGAAGGTAGGTTTTAAATTTACAAATTACTGACGTTGTTTCTTCAAAAGAATCATTCTGTATGTATCTTTTGTATACTTCTTTGTAAATAAATTCTGGTAGATCGTATGGATTTTAATGATGAGCAAATTTTTAAGTGAAAGCAGGCATAGACGCTCACGAAGTCGATCATCATGTCATGATTCACATCGTAGAAGTCGTTCTCGAGGGATAAAACACAGAAGCCGAACTCGTAGTCGTACACCACGTGATCATTACTATCGTAGCAGATATCGGTCTAGAAGTCGAGATCGATTTTACAGACATGAAGGTTCTCACTATGATCGTCGTAGTTACCGACGTTATTGGACCCCTGAAGCTGAAGAAAGATATCCATATCGAAGACGTCATTCCTCCTCTAGAGGCAGATCTTCACGACATGAAAGGTCATCAACTGATTTTGTTGTTTTATACATTCTCATAAATTTTAAAGTTTCCTCTATCTTGGTGGCTACATATTCAAATTACTTAAGTTTTGAAAATTTTCAAGTACATTTTTATAAAACGTTAAGCATCATTTGGTGTTAATACCAAATTCGATTTTTAAGGGAAAATTTTGCGGATTGTTTCAGTTACTATATGCCATTGCTGTTAAGGAACGTTACCTTAGTGCAAATTATGGTGGTCCAAAATGTCTTCAGTTTTCCTTGAACTATTTGTTGTAAATTGGAGTAATCTTCAAAAAAGGCATCTTCAAAAAAGGCATTGAAAATTTTGCAGGAGTACAAGCCGGGATTTAACGCCAGCAGGTGACAAATCAAGCAGAAGCCGTAGTTATTACGAACAGTCAAAAAGTCGGACTGAATCACCAATTGCTTCGCGGCACTCCTCCGTTGCACGTTCTGGTTCACAATGTAAGACTACAGATAGTCGTAATCGGAGCTCTAGTCGCCATAATTCTCCGGGTAATGTTTCATACTTTTAAATTCTCAAAATCAATAGATTTGATAAACATAACGTTTCAGAAAAATTTATTTTTGATTTGATAAACATAACATTAAAAAAAAAAACAAACAATAGATTTGATAAACGAGCTCTGATCGCCATAATTCTCCGGGTAATGTTTCATACTTTTAAATTCTGATTTTTTGACAAATTTGATAAACATAGCATTAAAAAAAAAATAAACAATAGATTTGATAAGCATAACGTTTCAGAAAAAAAAAAATTTCTTCAAAAAATTTTATTTGTCACAGATTCGTAATTTCATAAATTTGTTCAAATTCGATGTTCCAGAAATCATAGAGCATAAATCTGGAAAATCACCAGAACTAGCTGAAGATCTGGAATCTATTGAGGATACTGTTGATGTGCACAAATCATCCCATCACTCAGCAAGCCCCGGCAGTGAAAAGTATAGTTTTTAGATTTATATTACTGAGTGTTGTACAAATTTATGCGCCAGATGACTTATTTGCATATAAGGTCAAATGACGATTACAAAGCCTTTCAGGGGGAGATCTGATATGTGGAGAGATTAACGGACATATCCATGAATGATGAAGAGGCGAAGTCAGTGAAAAAGATAAAATCTAACTTCAAGAAGGGATATTCCCTTCTTGGTTTGAATTTCAGTAATTTATTTAGGAAAAAAGAAAATTTAGATTTGCTCATAATAATATCGCGATTTTTAGGAGTTCGGTAAAAGAGCTGGACATGTCAGATAAAAAATCAAAGAAACACAAGAAAACCAAAGAAAAGCATAGAAAAAGAAAAAAGAGTCACCACAAGAAGTGAGTTACACTAGTGGATTTTATTATTTTTCTCATCAAAGCTGTCACCAATTTATTAAATTTTTCATGATATTTAAACGGTATTTTTTAGGAGAGAGAAGAGAAAGTCAAGCCCGTTTATGGTTGAAAGTGAATTAGATGACAAGTGGAAGACGTCGTCAGTCCTGTCGAAAGAAGCAGATTTGAATGTGTAAGTATAATCACTTTCATATTAATTTTTGTTTCAACTTTACCTTTCCTTTTCCTAAATCCGCCACTGACCTTATTACCGTGGCTAATGTTCCCTTCATTTAGAACGCAGTTTGTTCGCTTATATATCTATATTTTTAATAATTGGTGACAGATTTTTTCATTTCAGGAATGTATCCTTAAGTCATTTTGAGGATGAAAGAGCAGAAGTATCTTGTATTACGAAAAAAGAACTGAATGAATGTAAAAATGTAAGAATATTTAATTAGTTTTTTCTAACCACTGAAAATTTGAAGTTGAAAATGATAAATTAAAGCCTTTATTTGTCAATTTCTTGCAGGAGAGAGCAAAAAAGAAGAAAGAGAAAAAAAAGAAGAAAGAACGTCGCAATACTAGCACAGAAAGAAATGTTGTCACGAAGAAGATCTCAAACGAAACGCTGGAAGATGGTGAAATCATAACGGGAAAGGATACATCACCAAGGTAATTTTTATTTCATAGACTTGTTTCTCTTTTTTTTTTTTCTTTTCATTTTTGCTTTCTGATCATTCGTTATACTATTCAAATAAGTATTGTTATATGTTTTTGTTTATTCAATTTATTATTATTGGATTTCAGCATATTCAATTATGTACATATTTTTGCTGTTGACAATTTCAAAATATAATAGGAATATAAGATCAAATTAGTTAAATATATATATATATATAATTTAAAACACTTATTCTTTTAATCATTTTATATCTGAACTATTTGATCAATTTTATAGACAAAATTTGATCCATTCCAGAACAAGGGAAAAAGTGGTTAATTATGCAACGTCTGAATCAGAAGAGGAAAACAGTAATGCAGGAGAATGGAAAAAACCTGCTGAACAACTAGCCGAAAACTGTAATACAAAAGTAGATGTTTTGATAAATTTTAATTTGCTAAATGTTTTGCGGAAATTTTTAATTTTTATAGTTAGCGTTTCTTTTATGCATTAACAATTAAGAATTCAGAGCTAATAAGTAGAAAAGTGAAAGGAAAGAATAATAGTATGATACAAAAGCAGCATTCCTAATTTAAATTGATTTAATTGGCTCTTTTATATCTTGGCAAACGATATAAGTTCAATTAAAAAGATTTTTGTTTTATTGTTCGCTTAAATAGAAACTTCTTCATAGTTACCTTTACACAACAGAAGAAATTGTAAAGCAATTTTTTTTTTTATTTTTACTTTTTTTTTTGAATGAATATATTCTTCAGAGTATTTCTCCTACAGTGAATTTCACAGTGAACTCTAAAGCGACAGAGAGTGCTATCAAACTTAGAGAGGATTTCAACAGTGCTGGCATTATTCGATCATCAGTTTTGTCATTCGATTTTGTTGATGAGGTATGTTTACAACTGGTTTTCTGCGGTTTTATTTGTTTCCATCCAAACAAAAATACTTCTTATAATAGATTGAATTTGAAAAAAACAGACAAAAACTTTATTGACTATAAAAATTATACCAAAAAAACTTGTTAATATAAGCTGCATGTGAGTTGTTTTAATTTTATCAATTATAATACATAAAGTGTTTTTGTTTTCGATAACTTTGAGTTGTTATATTACAGATATTGAAGGTTCCTGGTGATAATGCCAATATTTCTAACTTGGAAAAGAAAGCGAAACAAAATTATGAGCCGGTGAATCCTAAAAAAGAAACAAAAATTACAGTAGATCTCGAAGATGATGGGTAAACCTTTTCCTTAATTTGAAACCAGCAAACTAATATCTTTAATAAAAATTCTTTGCACTTTTTTTTTTTTTTTCGACATTCCTTGGAAGTCACTTAATGTTGTTTCGAATTGCCTTTTAATGTAGATGTTATCAAATCATTTCCAAATATTTGTAGGATTTCAAGTAAACTTAAAGATTTGAACAGCGACTTCAATGAAATTACTGCTCGAGAAGCAGAAAAACTGAAATCGGGTAATATCGCGGAGGCAATGAATAAGTTGAAGGAACTGCGCGGATATGTCAAGTCGAAAGTGACCGTTTCAAATTCGGCCACTGAAACAGAAGTAATAAAAGAATTTAATCAACCAAGTGGTAATGATTCTACATTTACTGGGCACAGTTTAGCCGATGTTCCGTTACCAAAAGGAGTGCAAGTGGCAGTTGATGTTATGGAACGAACTGAACAAATTGCGACACCTGAAATTCGAGTCCAAGAAGCCTGTACAAGTGCTAAGATAGATTTAAAGGATAGGGATGTGAGGAGAAAAAAAGAAATGCTTAAACGAAAGTGGGAAGAGGATGAAGAAGATGAATTGAGCAGATTAAGGTATCACCACATTTATTAATTTATCTTTAATAAACTCTCATTGAATTTTAATTAAAATTCAATTTGTAACATTAATTTCTGGTAATTCTTTTCTGATTGCCTCTTTCTGATGTTGCAATTTGATAAATTCAGATTTTCGTGTATTATTCCCATATTAGTGAGACTGTTAACTGCAAGTGTCTTCCAGATATGAAGCATTGCGAAGCAAAACAAGAAGGTTGATGAACGATCTAAGGGCTGAACGGCGTCGTCTAAAAAGAGAGCGCCTACGTGCTACTATCGCAATGCGGCGAGCTCGTGAGCGATCGGTTGACACTAGTGTTGATGAAATTTTGCTTGCCGATACTTCAGACAGTAGCGAAACAGATGATTCGGAGGACTATTCATCTTCACATAAGGTTGATTTTTTTTTTTTTTTTGTTAAATTATTACAGTTCTATAGATTCAATGAATGCCATTCCCTTAAGATGCTAGCAAAATACATATTTTACGAGCGTTATTTGCAATTAATGTCGTTAACCAGTAAGGATAAATTATCCAGTGTATCGAATGACATACATCTGAGTATTAAAAATGAATTTATCATTATCTTCTTTTAACTATTAAACGTTATGACTTTTTAACTGAAGGATAATTTAGGTTATGATTTTGTATATTTTTGAATGATTTTTAGGATTATTTGTATTTTCACTGGCAGTAAGATTAAAACTGATATTCAAGGAACCTTCCAAGTAGTATAATATTTTGTTTAATTCCACCTCATTTGTGATTTTCGTGCAGTCCAAAAATTTTTTGATTTTTTTTTTTGAAATTAATATCACACCATTAAAATGAAACAGTATGAATTATTTGAGCAAAAGTCGTTCATGTGATATCCGTTGAATATTTTGATGTTTTTTCATCACTTGGTCCATCTCAGTCAATAAATGAACTTATCTAAAAAAGAGAAATGAAAAAGACCATTTTTTTTTTTCTTTTTTTGCTCAATTATAGTGTTAATTTATTGCTGCTGTGCCGCGGTGCCATTGTTTGATGATATTCCCATTTTATGAGTTTTTTATTTGCTACAATCAAAGGAAACGCGCTGCCACGCAGATCATGAAGCTTTAATTTGATTGTTTTAAGTCATCCAGCTGGTTAGGCTAAGTCATTGTTTCGAAGTGAAATTAAACTAAACATGAAACTGAATGTTTTGTGTAAGTGAGAAACATTTGAATATATAGTCGTAATGTTCTTTTCTTTATGGAGTCTTTGCAGTTAAGCTGGACGGATAGAATACAATTTAAGAAATTGTTAACATGTTCTGTTTAACATTTTTGTTTGAAATATATATATATATTTCTCTTAAAATGGGGTACGGAAAAGTTGTTATTAAAATGAGTAAAAGTGGATTTGTGAATATATTGGTGATTGATAATTCATATAGCAGATAACTAAGGAATTATGTGGGACTGGAATTAACTTCATTCGATATTAGAAGAAAGAAGATTTGATTATTAAGTACAGCGCCATTGAATGCTAAATAGTCATATATGAGCTTTGTAAAAGGTTTGCACTTTTACTCACCAAAATTTTACATTCGATCTTAAGATATAAAAAAAATCGTGATTTGATCATTTGATTCATGTAAGCAAGTAGTAATCCCATATTTGATAATTTAAACTTAGTATAAAGCGACATTATTGTTTATTTTCTATCTGAAATTGCGTGAAATTTTCCATGCATTCTCATAATGTTTCATGATTCAATTTCAACAATTTTGCTTCCTATATTAGCATTAAAAAAGATCATTGAAGATCATTCTATGTTTTTTTTCAGTTATTCGTAAATCAATGAAAGCATAGTATATGTGTATTGTTTGAGATAATCATGTATTAGATAACCCATTGAATTGGAGCAATTTATCGTTAAAATTGCCACATTTCTCGTCTCATCATCTTCCAAATAGCTACTGCTATCGTAGAGGGTCATCACATAACATTATCCGGAATGGGTATTACGACTTTGCTTTCGCCGATCATGTGCCTTCAAGCTTTCCACCCATCTTCATCATAGTGTCATTTTCATTCTTCTTATTCTGCATGGTCGGTATATTCAATTTCAAATATAAACTATTTCATACATTTTGTGCTGTTAATCTTTTCAAACAATTTCACCTACTATATTAGACATTTTTTGAAATTCTCTTCATTTAAAAATTTTACAAGTCTTTGAAAAAATTCAAGAAACACGTGTAAATTTGACGATTAAAGCTTTCATAACATTTACAGTTTGAAGTGAAGAATTTGTTCGGGAAGAGTTTTAAGAATAAACTTAAGGGATCTTTCCATAAAATTACAAAATCTTTGAGGATTGAGTTTTCAAATTCTGAATTTGTTGTATAAGATTATATCTCCTAAGAAAGATGAATCATTGGCTGTTTTAGGAATTATCTGTTCATTTCATCTTTCAAATATGTATAATTACTTTTATTTGTTGTTCATTGTAACAGGGACAAGTGTATAGGACCACTGCAATCCTGCAAGATAATGCGATTGTTCTGAGTTATCTCTTATCCCTTGCACTACCTCTTTTGCATTAAGAGTTCACTTCTAATTACTCAACTTTAATGTTTCAGATATTTACCATCAATCATGTGATACGGAATGCCACCTAACATCTGAAAAGGGTACCTATTTTGCCATACACTTCATTAAGCAGCTCTAGTAAATCTGTAATATAACTTTCTTGCAAATACATTCGTTTCATTTATTACCATAATGAATCATATCACGACTTATCTATTAATCTATTTTTGCTTTTATGCATTCCAGTAGTTCCTCATTTGTACCTATCCATTTTCTTCAGTCACTTCTTGCACAGCAGATTTTGTCTTTCTGATGATTCATGCTTTATCAGTATTATTTACTTGTAAAAAATAATCCGTTTAATTCGGAGAAGTTTAATCTTGACTTTTACGAAAGATTTTCTTTTTGTAAGGAGAAAGACTGGAAACTCAATTGTAAAAGTAGGTTCAGTATATAGTTGTGAGGATAATACTACTTTGGAAGCCTACCGAATATGAAATGGGCTAGAGTTTTTCATTTAGAATGTTTTAGGAAAAGTAATATATTCATTGTGAAAAAAAAAAAAAAAAAAATATTTAACTAGTAAAGAATAGGGGGAACTTTGGTTAAAAATGGTTAAAAATATTTAACCCTCTACTTTTATTTCACTAAATTGTTGTCTTTTAAGACATTTTCTCAGTCTTAATCACATAAATTGGCTATCAAAATAGTACTATTTCAACTTTTTTCTGTGGTTTTTTCTTGAATGAATTTAACAATGGTACATTATTGAAGTACCATTCTTTTCAACACTTCATTTTAGCATTTTGTTATTCCATTTCTTTACCATTTATTGCTTATGTAGTTTGCATTAAACATTCTTCAGTTTGCTTTGCTATTGATTTCTAAAATTTATTCTTACCTTGAAAAGAATGTTTTCAAATTGAGAATAGTTAGAAATTCTTTCAGACAAAAAAGCGGAGTTGGAAAACTTGTGATGATGGTTTGTTCACGTTTCTAATCTTTTTCTCGCTACCGTATCCCTCTCTTTACTCATCATCGAATCATCTGCTATCATTGTCATATTTTATAAAAAAAAAAAAAATAGGTAAAAAAAAAAGAGAAAAATTAAAACATTCTTTTTGTTCTCCTACATTTTAAAGAATTTCACCTCCTTTTACTACCAATACTTCTAAACTTTTTTTCAATTATTTTTTGGGATACTGATTCGGGTATATTTTATATTCCATCTTATTCTCTCCTTTGATTTTTTTTTTACAGTTCTTGTTCTTCTTTTCCATCATGTGACAAAATATTTTCTTGGTATACGTAACTAAACTGGCACTCACTATGATTTTCTTTTTTCTAGCTCATATATTTCATCCTTAGAATTTGTTACTCTACTCTTGTAAAAATTTCCAGTTTTACCATGGTATTTCTGCTGCCTTCAAATACCGTAGTTCCATTCACAGATATTTTAGCAATAATTTGTTTCCTGGGAATTTTTGTCACTTCGAAAGATATATGTGGAATGGTGTTACAGTATCATTTGTCAGTAATTTCTCAAGAAGGAAATGTGAACTGTTGAAACATTAACAAATTTTTGTCATAGGATTCCAGCAGAGAATAACTTGTTTGGGTGATGCTTTTGAAAAATAGTTTCTTTTTTTTTTTTTTGAAGATTAAGATTTAATATATTGTTTTCTTGTCTGCTTTTGGAATTTCCTGAGTATGATCAAATGATCTGATTGATCTATTCCTTTTATTTCTGGTTACTGTAATGATTTCATGTTACAGAAAATTGTCTAAGCTACATAAGGAACATATCAAAGTGACATAATGTATTTCTAAGTCAAAAGAATAAGGAATCATGGTAGCTAAATCGTCATTTCAAATCGTTTTAGTTTTTTTACCAAATATATATTAGTAATTTAAGCTACCACACTCGACACTTTTGATAACAAGGACTGAATAAATTAAAAAACTGTTTATATATCAGATATTCAATTATCGATATTTTGTTCAATTATGGATATTATTTTTCTTCTGTAGAGAAGTGTACAGTGATTGTGTACTAAAAGTGATTAGCAAAAGTTTGGCGAAGTAACTGATGTTTCTTTTTAAGTTATCATATAATATCATCTATTCTTCCTTTTCTATTTTATTGTTCGCAGCTCCCCTATTAGTTATAATAATTTGCGGAATACAGTGTTAATAATATGTAAAGTATGCTTTATCAATGAGTTTTTTTCTACATTACTATTGAAAAGGTTGAAAGAGAGGATGGGATGGAGGGGAAGATTTTTATCGAACTATTATATAGAACTATTATTTTGCTTATCTATGCAAAAAAAAGAATTTTTACAGATGGTAATATTTTTTTTTGTGATACTTTTTAAATCATAAGTAAATAATTCTGATGTGGAAAAGGTGTGCCAGACTCGATTTCTCAGACTAGATAATCAGCGCATTTTATGAGACTTTTTTCCGTGGTTTAGTGCCAGTGAAGCATGAGACAAATATTTAACATCTGGAAGTTGTTTATTCTTCTATTTATAATAGTACCGTAAACCCAAGTTATGCATACACATAAGTTTTCGTTTTTCTTTTTTTTTTCTGCTGATTTACTTTATTAATTGAAGAATTATTCATATTGCAGAGGAAATTGCTGAAACGAAAACGATATGCTGGAAGAGAAGCTGTCATTATGCACTCCAACCAGTAAGAATAATTCTTTTTTTTCTTTAATGAAAATAAGTAATTACAAGAGAATTCTTTGGATACAAAAAATTTCAATCTTGAAATGGTTGACTTTTTTTAGTTTTAAAAATGTGAAAATATAACATATACGGTAACTTCTTTACATATATTGCTTCTTCATTTAAAAGAATCTCCGCTTTTGAAAATGCGATAATTCAGAGGGACTTAAATCTTTGTACAGTAGACAGTGTGGCGTTGCTAAAACGGTTCTTAATAGTTCACGTTTTGAAGGGCACTTTTTTTAACATTAACGGTTTACTCTTTTATTGGCTAACTTTGAAATGTGACAGTTTCACGCAATTAAAGAAAAGTATCGGATTTCGGAATTAATATGAAGATTGAAATTTGCCCGTCAAATGATAACCAAAACGTTACTGCATATGTTTCTACCCCCAAATTAAGTATATTAGGAAATTTATATGGATACATTTGTGTCTGTGCTACATAAAAGTGTATGTCCGGTCTACATATGTGCTATGTGTATCCGTGGTTTTGCAATGATGAAAACGACAGAAAATCCCATTTCTATGGTCGTTTAGTGGAGACGATTTATGACTCGTTGAGGCTAATTACGGGTAAAATATCCCTTTCTTTCCTTCATCCAAAGTGTTGCATATTCCATACCCTTTTTTGTTCTCTCTCTCTCTCTCTCTCTCTCTGTTTTTGTAGTTTATGCTGTCTCTTTTTCATCTTAATTTTTTTTTTGATATGAAGTCAGAAACTTCTAGAGTCATGTGATAGAACTGCTGAACATAAATAATATTTATTTCTGAATGTTTATTTTTAGAGTATTCTTCAGCTTAGAATAAAATCGGGGAAAATCTAAGCGTTGAAAATGCCCAAGAATATAGGAACGAAATGCATTTTAATCTTTTTGCCCATATTTAACGATTGTTACTGTTGATTGCACAGCAGTTTCGGTTGAATGATATCAGATAATTTTCTCTTTGAAGAGTGATATTATTAAATGAAAAAGAAAAGCTAAAGAAAATGCCTTTCAGTTATTGGTTTCTTCAACTTTCTAATTTTTAGGATTTTCAAAATTGTTAGAAATAGTCGCGCTCTATTTTTCATTCCTTTCATTATTCATTTTTACTCTTTTTTTTTTTGTGTTTCTTTAAGTTTTCGAAAAGGCCTTGGATGAGCGAAATAACAATACAAATTCTCATGCTATGTTACGATAGTTGAGCACTTTTTTTTGCTCAACTATTCTCATTTTTTTCCGTTTCGCTGAACATTTTGGAATTTCTATGAATACCATACCTGTTTTTTCAGTTGGGCAAAATTAGCCATAGAGAAGTTTCGTTGAGCGAGGGAATTTCCACTCAAAAACTGGAACTATGCATAATTATGTATGCATGTATTCCTGAAATTGAACAAAATCAATTCAAATTAAGATTCATGTGGTCACTGTATAGAAATTTCCCGTTCTTATACTACAATTTCTAGTTTGCTGTATTAGCGGTCTTATCAAGATAAAATACAGGGAGCATCAGTGTAATACATAACATTTTTAACTTTCCCATAATTTTGAAATAACATGGAGCAGTGACGAGTTTGATGATAATTTCGTTATAGTACATCTATTACCAGTTTTCTGTATATCATTAATTTTTTTTTTTTTTTTTGAAGTAATTTTAAAATCATGATGTAACCACAAATATTGATATATTTTCTACAAAATTTTCAAAAAATTTTTGTGGCTTTGTGACTTTTTATGCTTTTAATTATATTTTTTTAATAGATAGTACAGGGGTTGTTAACCATTATGGAATCATACAAGGAAATAACCTATTCACTCTTTGAACACGTTTCTTAATCAATTCCGTAATCATCAAATTTGTGATTTGTAGTGGATTTGGAAATGTTATTTATTACATATGTAATCAAAAAAAAAAAATGCAAACAAATATATGCTAATAAGATATGCATTATTTGCTCTTTTTCAAACTTTGTTTTAGAAAATTTCAAATTACTATGATTTTATGATTTCAGTAATCAGCGCACTTACTTATTATTTATTTAAGGAGTAAGCTATGTGAATTTAAACAATGTATTAATGATGATGCCGATATCAAGGAGTATCAGAATGCATTGAGCAATGATAATAAACAACGGCTAGAATCTAGTGCACCGAACACTTTGATTTTGGTAAGTATTGCATTTGACTTGGGAAGAGGCTTAATTGATTTCACATTTTTTGACAAAAAAAATGCAGCTGGTTTTCATATGCCGTTTTTAAATTTGTCATGAAGTTTTTGATAGGCAGAAAAAATGGCGAGAGAATTTGTTCATAGTTAAACTTAAAACTAAAGCTTATTTATATTTTATATGAAAGTTTATAAGCCATATTCAGTCGTTTTTTTTTTTTTTTAATTTAATCACTTATTAGAATGCAAGATATGAAAGCAAGTTCATATATAGCTATAAAGCTGTATTTTTAGATAATCAAGTTAAGGCAATTTTTATGAACTTCCCTGAATCAAATTAAAAGGCTCATATAGCTTTTCTCGATGTTTTTATGTGTATCTATGTCCCTTAGATTACTGTGTATCCATATTTATAAGCCGCTTTATTCTCGTTAAATTTTATGATGCTAATTATAAATGGGATAAATCAAAAGCACAAATCATGAATGTTTCTATTAATAATACTGCTTGATTTAAGATTCGTTTCCATTTAAAAAAAAAAAAAAAAAAAAAATTAAGAGAGGTTCAGGCAGAACTATTTCTATTAGAGTGGTAAAAAGAGATTTATACAGAAAGACTTGAATGACACAAAGGTAAATGAGATCGAGTTGTTAATTATAATACTGATTATAAACATATTAGTATATTCTTTGATAGGAAAATGAATTGTAATTTTAAATTTAAGATGGAAAATGAGATTATTATTTTATTTTATTTTTTCTTTATTTATTTTTTTGTTTTTTGTCTTTATTATTTTCCTGGTATGTTATACTTTCAATTATGTCTATATTTTTCAGGAACTTCAACAACGTATAGGTGGATCGAATGAGAGTGCATTGGCATTGTTAGAACAGCTAAAGAAATGTTTAACTGGTGGAGCGGTAAGCTCGAATATACATCTCAATCCAGAAATAATTAGAAAGAATACTTAAACATTGTTTTTTTTTTTTTTTTTCTTTTTTTTCGTTTTGTCTTTTAAAATTTTGTTATAACATTTCTTAACATTTATTTTGATTTCACTACAGCCATCAATGTTATTACTAGCGAATTTTCTTAACCGTTCATCATTTCATCGTAGTTTAAATTTTCAACATCTTTTAAAGCGCTATCATTAATCGATGATATAATGTTTCTTTGTTATTAGTTTTGTTGCATATTGTTCTGCATAATATATGAAACAGATGCAGATCAGTAATTTTTATTCATGATGAAATAAACAAATTTTATTATTGATTTTAGTAGATCTTATGCTACACATTTGTATCAATAATTTGAAATCATGAAATTGTTCAATCCCAAAAAAATTATCTCTTTCCCGTAAAATCTATTCGTTTATCTTATTTTCTTTTCTTGTAATACTTGAAAAGTTAATAAAGCTAAAAACGATGAACGAACTCATCAGTAATTCAAAGCAGACTTGCAAATGAGAATGTTGATTACTGTATGCATATATGTAAGGGAGTAAAAATGGTGTAGTGAATACAATGGTCAAAATTCAACAGTTATTTTAATGAGTTACTTTAGTAGTAAAGGCTGAGAGGATAAACATTACAAAATGTACTGTTCAATTTTGGTTTTAAAAATGAAAGCATCAATTTTGTTAAATATATTCATTTTTGGGCAGTTATATCGTTTAGAAGTGTGATGTTAGGAATATTTTTTAAATTCGCTAGTGTATGAAATGATTTTACATTTAAATTGCATCGTCGAAAATAGTGCATTTAGTATCAAATTATAGGTAAATCAAACTAGCATTTATAATTTATTTAACTGAACAGTTAGAAACAATATAACCGAAAGATTTATCAAGAAAAAAGCAAAAATTTGCATAAGTTCCATCTATGCTAGATACTTATTTATCAAGTGTAATTTTAATTTTGTATTTTACATAAGTAAAAAGCATTCGAATTTTCTTTTTTCTGAAAGATGTGTATATTTAGTATTCGATCAAATGTAACAAATTTTCAAGAATTTGTTGCATGAAAAGGTTTTTTGAGGTGGGAGAAGAAAAGGGAAAAAAAAAAAACAAAATTGGAAAGGTCACATGAAGTAGGTGTGAATTTCATTCGGCTCACAAACCACTGGACAAAGATATTAGTGAAAAAAGGTGCAGAACGAATAATTATAGAATCAATGAAATTTTGAGGGAAAAAAAAATTGATTCGCAATTTTTAAATTACCAGGTGCGACAATTTTATTGCTATTAATACTGCTGCTACTACTACTTTTATGCTGCAAGGAAAATTTGCTATAACAATAACACTTTCAATTTTCAGAAATGAAATTATAAAGTGATGACGAGTTTTTTTTAAAAAAAAAAAATTTAGTTTTAAAATTTCAGTTTTCATATTTGTTAAAAAAAACTCGATAGTTAAATCATTTTTATCACTATCATATTACACTTCAAAATGTGCTAAAAAGTTTAGCGGAAAAGTTGAAACATTAATTATAATGAAATCTGTACTTGGATTTTAATGTTAACCATTTATAAATGCAAATTTCGCGTCCTTTTTATTTAATTTAATTAATTTTTAACATTTTTTGCTTTTTTCTTTTTATACTTATATGATAATAAAATCAATATTTTGCGTTTTTTTTTTTTTTTTTTTAATCATATCCACGGAGTTCTTTCCTTTTTTTTTAAGCTCAATATTTGATATTTGAAAAGATTGAATTCTAAATGGGATTTTTTTTCTTTTTTAATGAATTAATAATCACAATTTTGTTTAAAAATGACAACAAATTAAATGCATTTTTTTAGGAAATTCATTGACTAGTATTTTTAATACATATACATAAGTAATGGAAATTAAAAATTCGCAATATCATATTTGATAAAAAAAACTAATAATTGAACAAAATTTAAAGGATTCTGTTACAAATTTTACCAATTTTTGCACTCCAATAAATTTCACACCATAATAATAATAATAATTATAATTTTGATGAAAATAAGAATTCGCTCCAAAAGCAAAAAACTGGGAAATAATGATTTCTTTGATTATGCCCTGTTTATATATACTTTAAAGTTTTTTAAGTTTTTTTTTTTTTTTCTCCTTTCTCTTTTATATATATATTAAAATTATTAAGCAAGAATAATTAGCTAAAAACAAATTACAATATGGAAGCAATTAATAAGAAAGTTTTTAAGTTTACTATCAACATATATTTATATCCATAATTAGCATTATAATAAATATATATTATTGATTGATAAAAAAATGATATTAAAAAAAAAATTTTTTTTTTTTTCATTTAATTTTCAAAATTATGAATATTCCTGTGCTCATCCCTTGCCTTATCCTCTTTTTTCTTCTTCATCCGTCGATTTTGAAACCAAATTTTGATTTGTCGTTCAGTGAGACCCAACGTTCGGTTTAATTCAATGCGCCGTCGTCGGGTCAAATATTTGTTGTAGTGAAATTCCTTCTCAAGTTCCAGCGTTTGCTGACGACTATACGTTTGTCTTCCTCTCTTCTTACAATTATCTGCAATGAATGCCGTTTTGTTTCTGGTTCATCGCGGGAAGTGAAGAGCACAGGAACATAGATATATACACATATGTAAATTTATATAATTTTAAATTTTAAATAAATAGAACTTTTTAATTTTCTTTTTTTCAAAGAAAAGAAAATATATATTAAAAAAAAAAAAAATAAAAATAAAAATATTAAGTAAGAAAAGGCAAAAAAGATGCAAATTAATCAATGTAACGCTTTAAAAAGCTTTGGAAGATAAAGCATAATATGAAGTAGCACTCTTTGCATTTTGCAAAATAATCAGAATTTATTCAAATAAATTTAAGTTGAATTAAAATTTAAAAGTTTTAAACTAGGAAATTCAAAGCTTTAACATTATTATTGATAACAAAAAAAAAAAAAAAAAAAAAAGAAAAGAAAAAATCAAGCGAGAGAGAGAGATCGTTAAAACTTATTCAAATTTTATTATAGAATAGAAATTATAAGTTAAATTAAATATTAAAGCTTGAAGTTTAAATTTTGATGAAATTTTCTTGTAAAATTTCACTGAATTGTAATTGGAAAAGAAAATGAGAGACAAATTTTTTTGTCATTCATAACTTCTTCATTTGTCCATTCAAACCAAAAAAAAAAAGAAAGGAAAAAAGGCGCTCATACAACATTTTCATATACGGTAATCAAATTAAAAACTTATGATCACAATCAAACATACAATGCGTCAAACTAAAAAAGAAAATTAGTTTTTTTTTTTTTTTTTTTTGCGAGTAAAATTGATTCAATTGCATAAATTAAATTGAAAAATTAACAGATAAGATTTTGTTACCAAATTTGTAAAATTTTAACTTTCGGCTAAATTAATTATTTTTTTCTTTGCTAGCAATATTTTTTTAATTAATACAATAATCACTTAAAAATAAGATTATTTGCTAATTGTACGAAACAAACTGATTGCTTTCTCATTTAATATATTTTTTTTATCATTCATTTTAGTAAATTAGCATCAGTTTGTCGCATTTTCCTTCTTTTCAATAATCAATAAAAATCACCGGTAATAAAATAAAGAGAAACATTGATTGATTGATTGAATGCATTTATAATAACATGAAAAATGCACACATACACAAAGATAAAGAAAAAAAAAAAATTAAAATTAGATTTCATATATTTGGTGGACAAATAGGATAGGGTACATAGGATGCTGGATGAGGTGGTACCTGATTAGGCCATGGTTGGGGCATTGTTGGCATTGTTGGCATGCACCAACTTGCACCACTTGCTACCTTCTTATCCACACGTTCATCAGTTGTAACCGCTGCTACAGCTGCAGCTGCAGCTGCAGCTGCACTATCAACAACTAATTGCTTAGGTGGATTTGCTGGAAGTAAAGCAGAATGTTCATTTTGCTCCTCGCATCGATTCTTCTCCTTCTTGGCTTTCATTCGACGATTTTGAAACCATATTTTGATTTGTCGGTCACTCAAATTGGTCTGTAGTCGAAGCTCTTCACGTTGCTTTTTACTCACATAACTGCTTTGCTGGAATTTGCTTTCGAGTACCGATGTCTGATAACGTTGATATGTTTGACGACCCTTCTTCGATTGTGCTGCAATTTTAGTTCAAACAAAATTCTCCCAAAAATTTTCGTAAAGCCTTTTTCGAACTCGTTCACTTTTATCATTTTGGGATTTTATTTCAATTTCAAAATTTACATAAATTTTATTTTCAAATTTTCAACAATTTTTGAAATTTATCATCATTATCAAAAAATAAAAAGAGAATTTCAAAAGGAAAACTGATTCATAAAAAGGCATAAAATAATAAGAAGATTAAATATTGTTAATTTGTTAATTAAAATGAATATCTTAAGGGGAAAAATGGAGGATGTCGAATTTTAAGAACAAAATTTCGAATTCATTTCAATTTCAAAAATTGCTACTACTTTGTAAAATTTCACAAATTTATAAAAGGTAATTCCTCATTGGTGATTATTTAAAATATTACACGTTCCATCAAATTAGTTAAATTAAAGAATTGATCAGTTAGCAAGCGACAATGTAATGTTTATCGCCGTAATTAACTGTAATGAGGATTATCATTAGTCAACAAATGAACAAAACTACAATAATAATGTAATGATAAAAGGACATTAAATAAAAGATGATGTGATGAGATTCTCTATAGAATGACACCTATAATAACCATAAAGAAATGTTTCAGAAGTTCAGTACATGAATTGAACTATGAATACTTTTTAATATTTAGCTGTTGAGCTATTAGTTGAATTATATGAAATAAAAAGATTGTATTTAAATGTAAATGGATCGTTGAGTCTAATAATCGAGTGATCTAATAGAATTAAACCCAATAATCGAATGATCTAATGGAGCCTAATGAAATGCTTCATTAAAAAGAGAGTGAAAAGAGTATTAAATAAAAATTTATGGACAATTAAA